CCCCCCCATGTTGTTTAAAAACAATTTAAGTCAATAGCCTACACATTGGTCTTGTTGTTGATGTAGTTTATTTTAAAATATCCATAATCTCATAAACTTACAATTTGCAGTGGATATAAAGTCAAAATTTGTGTAAAGCAAATAAAAATGAACAATGAAAGTGCTTTAGAATATTTAAGCTTGAGACGGATCAATGTTAATAAAAATAATATTAATATATCATATAGTATAGAGAGATGTCAGTTGGATTTATGATAGATGGAACATAATGAGAATATGAATTTTCCTCAGTCCATAAGTTCTTCCATTTGCTTTGCACCTTTTTTAGTTTTTTAAATAAAACTTAAAACAATTTTATCTCATGATTTTAATGTGAAGACTCTCACAGGAGAAGGCTAAGTGCTAAGGGCACAACACCACATAACTGTGGTAAACTGCCTTATTAAATTGATATCATTAATAGGCATGTTTGTCTGTTGATCACTGTACAAGATAACTAGCCAATCTTAAAACAGGTCTGATAACTAATTGGTCCTGTACCCACAACTTGTTATATCTACTCTACAGTTCCGCCCACCCAATGCCTTTTGTGCAAACTCTAGGGCTGTAAGATGTAGGAATTCTTATCATCACATTAATGTTTTGATGGGACTCGAGGTATTCATGTTTGAAAAATCTGGAATATAATTTATTTATTTATTAAGACGTTCTTCAAAAGTGAGCACGGCTGGAGGGTCTCTATTTCTTTATCCATAGCTAACAGCTTAAGTGGGAGGGGTTGGCTAAATATTAGGTGTTTTTACGCCTCCGTGATACAATTTAGATCTTTTAGGCTTCAGATCCTGCCTGTTAACCCAACCCACGCTGAGAGGGATACAATATCCCATCAGAAAGACTGAGCTACTTGCTCAGATAGCTGTTGTAACTGGTTCAGATTTCTTTCTTAGTTATACTCAATTTAAATTTGTCACTTACTTTATTCTTTTTAGGTGCGAATCAAAGTACTTCAAGGCCATTCAGAAAGTGTGAATAGTTGCCAGTTCATTCAGAATACTCAGAAAATATTCAGTGCTTCAGAGGACTGCAGCATTCGTCTCTGGAACTTTAGAACAGGCAAATGCATTCAGACTTATGACAATCTGCATGAAGTGAACATCCCACAAGCTCACTCATTGCCTGATGGATCAAAGTAAGTAAGATGCAATTGTAACCAATTCCAGTTCTGCCATAATCTGATAAGACGCATTTTTTTCATTTTGGCGGAAACATTTTTTTTCCACTAATGAATTCTCCATGTTGAAAGAAAGCCATCTTGAGATATCAATATGAGAGCCTAACTGTGACTAGTTTTTGAATAAATTAGCCTTTTTGAATTGTTAAAATGCATTTATTTCCAATGTGATCTAATGAAACACATTTTTTTAGAGATGATCGGATGAAATGCATTTTTTTTCTTGCATATTTACTGTCCATAACTGCCATGATCTGATGAAACCCATTTTTTATCTGCATATTGAACATTTCTAAGCAAGTCACAACTTTGCCTTTCGGTCCGTAGGTTCAAGAAAAATTTAATATCCTTCTTACAACTGCGTTTTTCGGGATCATGGTTAACGAAACGCAGAAAATGAATCAGTTTTATCAGATCATTCTGGGATTAATGCAGTGAAAACAAAGCGCATTTCTACCAGGGTGATCTGATAAAACGCATTCTTATTTGTTTGTTTGTCTTAAGCTCAAATTCGATAAAATTTTGTCTAGTCGTGGTAAATGAGATGTACCTACATGTGGGATAGTCAAACAAAAACAACATTGCTATTTATTTGTTTAATTAGCAAAAAACACTAAATCGCGATTATCTCGAAACTTTGATTTTGAGAAAAATGCATTTTATCAGATCATGGCAGAGTTGCCAATAATATTTTTTTCAATGTTTTTGTGTTTTACTTCTATTTTTTTTTTAAGATCTAATTGCACCGTCAAAATTTAATAGCCCCCCGGGGTAGTGCCACTGACTGTAGTATCTTTAGGCCATTCCCAAAGGGGGACATTTCTCGTTCAAGCACAGTAGAATTGTAAATGGGCTGATTCATGTCACGCTCATAACTGTGCCTGATCTACAACAGGGAACTGCTGTTTTTTCTTTCCTAATTCTTACTATTGTCATTTTTCCTCTACTTCTTTTATATGTTTGTCACTCTCTTGTGACCTGCTATTTTTGGGGTGCCTTGATAGTCGAAGCAGACCTTGTGCTGTTGAAGCTTGAGAGGTAAGCAGAATAAGTCTGATTCCCAAAAAGACTTCTCTGTTGACACCTACCCCTTGGCGCTCATATGACCTTATGCAGTTGCGAGCGCCGTAAAACCCTCTACTATAAAAAATAAAAGATTTTATGACATTCATATCTATGATAAGGCTCAAAGTTGATTTTGTTTTTCCTTAAATAGTATTTGTATCACCTTTGAATAATTGCTTGTGAATTCAACCCTTTGATTTTCAAAAAGAGAAGTCTCAGGTTTACCTTCTGAAAGAATAGCAATGTTTTTAAATTACCTTATTAGCTATTCTCAGAGAGACTTGAACCAAGCTGCTTTAATAAAGACCTTTATAGGCAATTGTTAGATTCTACTCTGTGTGCAAATGTTATGGTACCCCCCAGGGCAGTGCTATGAACTGAAGTGTCTACGGACTGAAGTGTCTTCAGGCCATTCTCAAAGGGGGGACATTAACCATGTTCTTATGCTGAGTAGAATTTGTAATTGTAAATGGGCTGATTCATCAATGTCATGCTCGTAACTGTGCCTGAACTGCAGCAGGGAACTGCTGCTTTTTCTGTCCTAATCATTACTATCGTCAATATTCCTCTATTTTTTTTGTATGTTTGTCAAACTCTTGTGACCCGTTATTTCCGGTGTGCCTTGATAGTCAAAGCAGACTTTGTGCTGTGAAGCTAGAGAGGTGAGCAGAGTAACCCTGATTCCCTGTAAGGACTTCTCTGTTGACATCCACCCTTTGGTGCTCATATGACCTTATGCAATTGTGGGCGCCGTAAAACCTCTACTAAAACCAAAGAAAACAACCCTAATGGCGGCTTTGACTTTTCTTTTAGGTTTCTTACCTGTGGATGGGACAAAAAGCTCAAACTTTGGGATGCTGAGACTGGGCAATGCATTGTAAGTAAAAGTTTGAAACTCAAATTCTAACAAGAGATTGCGCATGATATTTTCCCCCTTGTTCCATTTCTTATTATTTGCTTTGAATTGTGGTGATAGTTACACTTTTTAGCAAAATATAATGCAAAATTGAAAAGTCATAAGCTTATAAAGATGTTGCAGTCATATTCATTTTATACCATGCTCAGGCCTATTCAGATCTCTTTAATTAACTCTTTGATTGACTTGCCTTCACTTACTCTATGTAACTTCCCCTTTTAAGGTTCAATGTTTTAAACAAGATTTGTTAACTACTTTCTAAGAATTTTCAAACACCTCAAAATATGATGTACCCAGTAGGCCTACCTCTAACAAAATTTTCCCCTCCAATAACCTTTACCAAAGACATATCATTTTACGGTTTGGAAATGGTGAAGTGGTATAGGTTGAACGCCCCTATCAATACTGCTAGGTTATTTAAGAGGCGGGACCTCTGAGTTTTAACATCCATCTCCGAAAGGACCAAGCCAAATGGGAAATTTGTGTAAAGTGCCTTTTCCAAGGACACAACGTCAGACCGAGCTGATGCTTGAACCCCTGAACCCACAATCTCACAATTACAAGTCCAGTAGGCTAACCACTGGGCTACCGACGCCACATTTTTTGGACTTACAAAATTGATAATGTTATGAACTCACGCCAAGAGCATCTTTTTTTGTGGTGGTCATGCCTTTCACTGTCACATGCTAAAGACTGGAGCTCAATTTTTTAGTCAGAAAATCTGTTTTATCAACTACCTTTGTCTTTCTGCCGGGCAGCTGCACCCCATTCAGCCTTTGGCCATGACAAGCAGGATTGAAACAGACCAACTCTGCAATTATCCAAATTGACTTGACAGGGCATTAAAAGATTCACAGTTTATCAGGTCCACATCTTAGTTGTAGAGGAAGACTTCACATAGATACAGCAATCAAATGAAACCTGCAGATTAGTTTTATTGTTGTGTAGTCACACAGAGATCACTGCCTCAAAAAGTGGTTGCTTCATAACGTGTCTGGTAAGTTCTGAGGCTGGTGGTGATAGTATAGTCAGATAGCCACTAAATTTACGACATAACTGCATTCTATTTTATTGTCGCTTTATCATAAGCACCGGCCTAAAAATAATGATGAGGGGTATCTGCTTGTAGCCCTCTTTGTGATGGAAACTGTCTTTTGTTGGTTTGGGGGGGGGGGATGTTTAAAGCTGCTCTGAATTTTAAAAAAATATTTCACTGTCTCATTCTTCAGCTTGAGAAGACACATGAAGATTTCTTGACATGTTGTCAAGTGTCCCATGATGAAAAAATGATTGCCTGTGGATCTGATCTGGGAAAAGCTTTAAGAGTTTATGACTTACAGAGTGGTGAATGTATTTTTGATTGCAAAGGTGAGTTTATGATAGGATTCTTTCAATGTAATGTTGGTTTAAAATGACTGGAGACAAGAGCTGAAGTTAGAAATAACACAGAGGCTTTTTTACTCTATTCTATTTGGAAATTTTTCATTCAACACTAGGGCATACACATACAAATCCATGTCATTTCTAAAGAGAAAATAACAAAGTGACAATTTCGGGTTTAAGAAAATAACAGAAACAGTTTCGTGTTACTGATTGGTGGTACATTGCCACAATACAAAACTTTTTGAGTGAGTTAATGAAATGTGTACTGCTCTATTACATACTCTGGTGATCCACTTTCTCCCATCTTCGCGTTTTGTCTTTTGATATTTTTATAAGCAGTGAGTCTTCAAGAATGGCCTTCGCCTTCAGTGTCATTTGCATTATGAGTGTGTAAAAGTTGTCTTCAGTGCTCTTTACTCATACAATGTTAGATACACAATGTATGTTCATATTGCTATGGAAAGGAATGCTTTATTACGCTTTTTGAAATTGTCATTCTGATTAAACTCATTTCTTCTTTTTTCATTAGGATTACACGAGAGTTCAATAACGAGCTGCAAGTTTGCCCCGGCAGACGACAAAGTTATCACAACCTCCATGGACAGATCAGCAAAATTTTTTGACCTTGTTACTGGCACCCCAACAATCAAACTGGTGTAAGTTTTAAATGTGTCATGCTGGCACAACTCTTTCATCTTGGAGAAACAAAGTTTCAAATTGCATTTCACTTTGCTCCTGCAGAAGATCATTCCCATTTGACATGTGCTACTTCATTTGTTTCTGCCTAAAAAAAAAATAAGCACGAAACTTATAACACATATGGTACAGTAGGTGTTTCAATCAGTTCTGCAAATTTCCCATAGATTTAATGCTTTATTTAATTTGCATCTGAAATCGTGGAAGTACTATGTTTTATTATCACCTAAATTTTGTTGATTAGAGCTCATTATGATTATTCTTTAAATTTTGCATAATTTCTTATTATTTTCCTTTATCATTCTTTGCTGAAATTAACAGAATCGCATAATTTTACATTTTTGGGCTCAGTTTTCATAATTTCAGAAGTAGGCCTACTTTTAGTTTCCGAGGTGTTTGTGTAAGACTCATGACACTAATTACAGGGATGTAAATCTTCCTGCTTTTTCCGGCCGACTTGCCATTTTGGCCCCAGCTTTTAACAAAAGTCTACTACAAACAATACATATTATATATACTAAATAGAGATTATTTGTTGTAATAGAGGGAAAGAAACAAATATAATATAGTCTCACTGTATTCTTATTTCAGTCGGTGCGCACACCATATATTTTTAGGATTTTTTTTCAAAACCTGTTTACATCCCTGTAATTAGTTATACTTTTTCCTTTCTACAGCGGACACACAAATATTGTTTCTAGCTGTTCCATCACTAGTGATGAAAGAAAGTTTGCTACAGCATCCTGGGATAAAAGTGTCCTGCTCTGGGATGTGGCAACTGGAATGTACAGGTTGGTACATTGTTGTTTTTCTTGCTTTAGGTTAGCCAATGGAAGATTGCTTCAGTGAAGGTGGGTTCAAACTCATTCAGCCACCTACCTACTCACCCAATAAGATTATTCACACGGATACTGCCCCACTTTAGGAATGAAAGCCACTGGCAGTAAAGTAACTGCCTGATGCGCCTGTTCATGATATGTATATCTTGAAGTTTTGCTTAGTTAAGTTACTTTTGTTTATTATTTAATTGGTGTATTTTTTAAATTTATTTTTCTTTTAATTTTTTAAATTCTTATTTCTCTTAATTAATTATCATTAATACTGCCCTTAATCGTGTTATCGATAAAAATGGACGGTAACGTGAATGATGACACTATAACTATAAGGGGGGGGGGGGGGGGGGGGGGCAATTACAGCGAATTATAGGCGATTTCCAGGTTGAGAACCATAGATACGGGGTACATGGAAGCGGAACCAATAAATTGGAAACAACAAATATTAATCCACAGACAGGAAAAAGAGGCTAAAACAGCACCTGGACATTGATGGCTGGTGCGTCTATAAATAAATCATTGATGGTCAAGGTCATTGAGGAATGCTGCATTTTGTTTCTGAAAAATCAGGTCTTTGGAGTAAAAATTCCTCACACTTTCAGATCTCAAGGACCCTCTGCTCTGAAAGGTGCACATGACGGATCTATCAGCTGCTGCAGCTTCAGTGCCGATGGTATGATGTTCTTCTTCTTTCACTTCTGTAGTTACTCTTCAAACTCAGAGACAGTGAAGTATGAAACAATTTGAAGTGTAAGAAAATTTTAAGAAACAAAGGCACATCAAAATGATAACGACAATCTTTTGGTGCAAGGAGAAAGTGAGTTAGATGGACAGAAACAACTGAGGGAAAGAAAAGTAGGATCTGTCAGTTTCAGTAGTACTCTCCAACCACCCACAAATGTGAAAGAAAAGATAATATTAAATTAAAATATCTGTACATTTTATTGCGAGAATTTTGGATTAATAGAATTTACACTTCTACTACTAGAAAAGCTATATTATAAGGGAAAAGGGAATGCACAGATTCTGAGATGTAATATATGTCATGAAATATTTTGTGAACATAATACTGTTTTCAGTAAAAAATAACATCATTTCTAAATTCCTTTTGTGAACTTTCAACTCAAAGTAGGTAAAGAGCCAAAAAACAACACCCTTATACAGTCAAGCCTCCTCTGACAACCACCTGTCCAAGACAAACACCTGTACAAACCATCTTTTCCCACCTTCCCCAAGCATTTTTTAAACCCTATCCGTATGTCGTGTTTTACTATAGTATCCATACGATGTGCGAAACTCTGTGCCACCACTTCCAAAGAGGAAATTTACTCATTAATCCGATCCGTACGCTTTGCATAGAAATAGGAGTCTGTCAAAATGATTTTTTGAGAAATACTGAAAGTTTCAAAGAAATATTCCTACTAGAAGTATTCTAAAATGTGAAGAATACAACCGCGGGGGTACAAAATGACCCCAGGGCGTACGGATAGGGTAAAACATCAGAATGACATTGTCAAAGAGGGCCACCTGTCTATGAGGACCACTTTTCTCCCCGACAATGGGTGGTCGTCTTTGACATGTTCGACTGTGTATTATATATAAGATATTATATATGATATGATCGAGATGAGATCTTTGTAGGCTAGTCACATTCCTTTGACTTTGACTCTTTGTACTTTCTTTCAGGACTGTTCCTTGTCACTGGATCTTATGACTTAAGTGTTGTAGTGTGGGATGTGGAGAACAGTGTACAGAAAATGAAACTTCAGGTATTTTTTCAGCCAGCTTCACATAGTTAGATCAAATAGATGGCTTTGTATGCTTACCACTGATAACTACATTTCAAAATTTTCATCACAACATCTGATATAAACTTACTTATTTACTATGATCATATCAACGGGTATAACACACTTATTGTAACTGTTTAACATCTCAATCAATTATTGAAAAGATTTTTTTTTTTTTTGCTACCTCAACCCTGCCTGTTAGTACCAGACCAGGCTGTGTGGGGTACTTTGTCCCAGCATGAAGATGGGAACACGCCGTAAAATATCTCCCCGTACTCTATAGTAATTTTACCCTTTGGTTTGTTACAGGGTCATTTTGGCTGGATAAATGACATCTGCTTCAGTGAAGATCAAGACTGGTTACTATCCTGTTCAAAGGTGATTAACTTTTCTTCTCTTGTCAGGTTTCTACTTGCTTTAAATAAGGTGCAACCTTTATCAATCTTGAAAAATGCTTTAGATGAAAACTTACTTCTCCTTAGGTTTTCCAGCTACTGGACATTGCTTCTAAGATCTTTCAGCGAAAAACACTTTTTGTCTTTTGCCATTCTGCCTGCTTGAGTTGTTTTTATTCCAGTTCCAAGCCAGGTTTCTGTGTCTTGTTCCCATCCTCTGTAAAGCCTGTACTGTAAGGTCTCCCTTTTCCCATCTTGCCCTCTACCTTTGCTTCCAGAATGTTTCTCGAGTGAATAATGGCGTTTGATATGCCCGAAGTAGTTCAGATTCTGATTCATCATGTTCTGAAGGAGTGTTGGCGTTCTTGTGCGGCTCTGAGGGAAATCCGTTGAAAAGTCAACATTATTGAAATTGACACTTTTGCATGAAAAAGTTATCTTGAGCATTGTTAACTGTTTCCAGGTGCAATTAGAGCATTCTGAAGAAATATATAACACTTCAGGGGACACAAGGGTCTGAAGGATAAGTAGTGAGAAAATGACTTTGAAATTTTAAGGATGGGCTGTTCTGTTTTTCTTTTTATTTGTCAGCTGTAAATCACCTAAATAATTTGTTTTAAAGTTTTTAGAATATTTGAGCAAAATTTTTTGGGAATTAAGATTTAGCTATACTTTATGATTCCATATTTCATAAAACCTTGGGATGGAAAAGAAGGCCTACTTATTTTGCCTATTCTTAACGATATCTCAAAATAACCATCTGCAACACCTCCTGGCTGATTTTCTTGAAGCCTCACAATACTTTCACATTTAAATTTAAACTTTTGTAAAATATTTATAAATTAAAAAAAAAAAATTCTGCAGGACAAAACAGTTCGTCTCTGGAACATTGCGGATTCAGACAAGATTCCAATTGTTTTGGAGAACAAGAAAGCCCAGGGTGTCAAGGTTATCAAGGTACTGTTCCTTCTCAGAATAAAGTTGTGCCTCTGAGATTTAGTAGGTAATTTTCATCCTTTACAGATTTCAAATCCTAATTTTATCCTTCACTATTCTATTTCTATTAAATTCTAAACACAAAAAAAAGAGTGCAGGACTCCATCATATATGTCACTTTCAAAATGGCATGGCCAAGTCTGGTACCAAGAGCAATCGAAAAGGAATTATAAAAATAAATTCAGTCAAAAATTAAAAAACTGTTGATGATTCTACTTATAGAAACGGTCATATAGTTGATCAAGATGATCATTACCATACCATAAGCAAAACTAAGAATAAATAGAATATTGTATTGGATTGAGGAGATGGATATTACGACATAAAACTATTCACTTGCAATAACTTGCATAGAATATCATTTTACACATGCAATTTTTTTGCTCTAACATATCTGTACCAGTACCAGCACTGAAATGTACCTAACACCCTACCCCCTTATAGTTTATTGACCACATTACAGTAAACTCTGCTTGTTTTGATCTTTGTTGTTTTTTTTCACTCCCCCAAATACATCAACTCATCCGTAGTGGACTGTGTCAAGAAATACTGGTTTTTCAAAGCATCCTCAAATTCTAGCTTTGTGATCTACCATATGTGTCATGGAGCAGTGGAATCAGGCGTTCATCAATTTTTGGGCATGTGGAGTCAGTTATTAGTATAATTTGAAAGCTGATTTATTTGCCTCGCTTCCAATGAAATAAATATCCATTTATCTTGAATAGAACTCAAGATATTTGCGATTGAAGGAAGTGAGTTCACATGGTTTCAGTGGTGAAATTAGCGAGAACATGGCAGCCAAAGATTTGTAACTCCAGTAGCTAAAGTCTGAAAAATGACATATTTTGTGCCTTTTATCAGCATTTTTCTGTAAAAGTCTCGTGGGAAGATGCTTTTATAATATGGACACAAAAGAGGTTAGGCCTAAAAATTAAAATTCTATAAAAATTTCCAAACTGGCAGAAAAATGCGTTTCTCTGATTTCGTTATTTTGACGAGCGCCTGATTTCACCACGCTGCCTCACATATTTTCTGCCTCACATATTTTCTGCCTCAATTTGTTACATGGTGGTTACAGTTATAGTTTCTACAAAGCTCCCTCTCACAACTCAAAGTTCACCATGTCATAAGTAGAGAAAGTGCAATTACTGCAAATGGTCTAACAAGTGAATCATGAAATGTGAATGTGCATGTGATAATAGATGAAGTAATCATGTGTTGCAATAATGTCTGTATTCTCAGTGCTCCAAGTGTGCCAAACCATTCTCCATGTCCCAGCTAGAGAGCTTCCGAGATGTGACCGTCTGTGTCTTTTGCCGTCTTGCAAGTCCGGAGAAGTCATGGCTTAGTTTTAGTGAGACGTCAGAACAAAGTGCTTGAAGTATTCTGCTGGACATAAATCTCATCGTAGACTTTACTTGCATCTTATCTGTACGTCATTGTTAAAGTATGACTGATGAATTTCAATGATTTGCTTCAACAGTTATTTTTGTATTGGGATTTTTATCAACTAGCCCAATGCCCTACACTCAAAGATCTTGTACTACTCAGCTTTCGTAACAAAGACAGATGTGCAAGCTTAACCCATGAACAGTTGACAGAAGAGAGAGGATTGGCTGATTAGGTGTCAGTGTTAGGCCGGTCCAAGAATGGCTCTGTAGGTCTGACCTGTAGCTCGCCCCATGCAAAGGAACGTATACATTATCGTGTGCCTGAGCAGCGTCGCTGTATGGTCTGTCTATTGTCCTCTGAGCTGCAAGACGCGTCAGACATGCTATTCAACAGTGTTGTAAAACATGTCGGACATGTGTCGCACGCAGCCTCGCTCCCTTTTTATTTTTGACTGAAATTCTTCACAGATCATCAAAATCAGCAAGAAGTATTATTAGGTGCCTCTACTATTACTATTAGATATTGATCTAACACTTGACCACAAAATCCCAAGAAATGCACTTTATCCTACATTAAAATTTTGAATCGAGAGGTTGACCTAGTTTTGACTGTTTGTTTACATTCATAGGCCTGTGTGCTTCTAGTCTAGAGAGGCTGTGCTGACATGCAGAGGGCGCTTACTCAGACACAGAAGCCAACGCAGTGTGGCTGTGCTGTCACGCTGACGGCGTGCGCTTGACGAGCTACAGGTCAGACCTACAGAGCCTCTCTAGGACCAACCTTAGAGTGTTGTATGATCGCTCATTGGTGAGGCCTGTCTTGAGAGAATTTTCATCATTAGCACTGAAGGAGCTAAAGTGTTGAAAAATTAAAGCCTCCACAATAGCAAGTATTTTACCTACCAGCATTGATTACTGCAACGGGTCGACAGAAAGAGAAGTAACACTGAAACCAGAATAGGATTGTAGTGCCAATGCCTCTCATCAGCAAGCTCAAAAAGCCAATGAAATAATCAACAACTCTTTAACATCATCAGTATTAAGTTGTATGTTTATTACAGTAATACATGTACAAATAATATGCCGGGCTATTCTTTGCATCACTGTGATAATGTAATAAATGTTTGCTACACAAAGCTCTCGTTGTTATATATCTACTGCTAGACCTAAAGTTTGTGAGTACCTACACAATATCCAGACTAACGAATGGTGAACAGATGAAGATAGAAAGATAAAATTATAGTTGGTTGAGAAAATGAGACTGACTTATAGCACCAGAGGACATGATGCTTTTATGAAAGGATTCGGTGATGGCAGTGTTCAGTACACGTGGAGTGACTATTCATCAGCATACGCAAAAAACATTATGGCAAAAACAGAAACAAAAGCTCTTTATGAAAGACAACAAATGATTTGTATATAATACAAAGGGATGACTGATTGTTCAGAATGGCGAACATTGAACTTAACATCTTGGAGAGAGAACCTGTGAGTCTTCACCACAGCGATAGTTTGCCAGGACGAGATAAGATTAGGGAAATAGTGAAATAGAAAAGAAAAAGGAGCAGGTCACATCAGAAGAACAGAAACCAACCACTCATTTTTCATAGATTTGTACAAAGTTTCGTCAAGACATTAGTGATGCTTTAAGATATTCACCAAATACTTTGCCATAACACATTGTCTTAAAGAGCTATTCACAGTCAAACAGCTGAACCCGTTCTCATATCAAGTTGTCTGAACTTGACTGATATGGTTCAAGTCCACAAGTGGGACCAATATTTATCTTCTCAGCCAAAGGCTGTAACTGTGTGTGAGAGTGAGTGTTCCTTTTTCAAGCAGGCATGCGTGCTTTTCAGGAGGCGGAGAAAAGGCTATACTAGTAACCAGACTTGTTCTGAACTGAGTACCCATTGTAGTCACATTGCTAGCAGACAGTCATAGGATATTTCTACATGGTTGAAAGTCATACCTTCTGAAAAATGGACTGTACTGCACGACATGATCATTGTCACCCCACGCCCCTCCCAAGAAGAGACCTGTACTTGTGAAACATTAATTACCTTCCAAACGAGGGGCAGTCAAGAAGTCTTTACCCTAAATATGAAAGAAGTAAACTAGAAAATTGAGATTTGACAGTCACAATGCTACTTCTCTCTACACATACATTCGGCAAGTTGACACACTGGCCATCTTTGTTAGATGTTTGAAAGTCCTTGAGCAAAGTATGACCTAGGACAGGACTCAAACCTTTCCTCCTCTGCAGATATTGCATCTCCATCACAATGGAGACATTTCTCTGTGATTTCTCGATCAGATTTGGGAAAAGGGTAAAGTCAGAGGGCGCTACATCCTGTAAATAGGGTGGGTGTGGGAGAATTTCATAGCCAAATAGCATTCGTCAAAAAATATATTCAAGAACAACGTTCAATAAAATGTTCGTTAAGTTCTAACCATTCAATGGATTTTCCCCAAATTCCACATGCAGCGTTATACAAAGATAAAAATTGTGTTCTCCAGGTTTCATCGTTGCACAGCACAGATTCTTCATTGACAGAGTACAGACTTATTAACACACCTTCTACTATACCCTATATTTCAGTACATGCATGGAAAACCCAAGGGACTATCTCATATGTAATGTGTTATAAAGCCTGATGCTTCCACGAATGTGCATACAATCCTTTAAAAAAAATTCTATACAGTATGTACGATTACCAGATTAAAAGTCTTTTCAACACCTATAATGTATACACAATAGCCCCTTATTTAGTTTTAGTAATAACAAACACAAAAATGGAGGAGAGATCAGAACGATAGATGTGTGAAAGGAAAGAAGGAGCCGTTTGCTGAACAGATGTATTGACTGACAGGCACAATGAATATGACAAAAATTGAATATATTCATTCACAAGTCCAGACACATAGTGTAAAAAAATACTGCATTAAAGTAGATCAGTCGAATAATTAAAACGAAAAACCTCCAAACATAGGATTTTTCACTCAGAACTAGCAATACTCATTTCATGACATCTGTTTGTACAAACTTGTATCGGCAGGAAGTATATTCAAGTAAAAGAAACAATAAATTTCCTATTCATCTCATCTTGGATACAGCCTGACACTTACAGATTTTTTTCAATTTAGGGAGAACAGGACAGATGAACAAGTATATAAATGTTGATTTTTTTTCTTCTAAGGAATACCATTCTTTAAAAAAACTGATGGGGAAAAGGTAAAATGTCAGTCAACACTTGTGTGGCAGTGAATGAAGAGTCCAAGCAATAACCCTCAATTGTGGTGTTGATCCCAAAAGGGTAGAGCAGAAATATACAAAATACGTTAGATTAAAAATATGAAAGACATTTACAGTCAATGAAAAGCTAAGACATAAATTGTTCCCAAAACGGGCGTGAACATCATTTGAAAATTCATGATAGGAAACAAACACACAGAAGTAGAAAAAGTTCGAGTTAGAGGTAGGAGCAAGACACTGTTGAGAAGGATTCTGCATAACGATAACAATATAACATAAAGTAATGAGAATAGCAGAGGAAAGACAGGCAGCAGAAGAATAGGAAAGAAGTAAGACCTACTAAGAGGTCCCCTTCGCCCTGAGGTACAATGCTTGCCCCTAATGTCAGGGTACCTGCTTTTATCTAGTGATCAGTGCTGGTTTGGTGAAAATTTTGGATTATTATTAGATGCCGGTACCAGCCACCTTTGATCCTGAGGTGGGATAAATCGAGCACTTTCCTCAGATGAGGATGAAAGTCTTGAAGGTCTCAGTGCACATAAATTAGCAGACCACTAAAGCTGAAAAACAGCAGAAGTCCACTGCCTTAACAGAGTTCTTGCTTAAACTCTACTTAAACTTAAATAACTATGCTGGTCAGAGAATCTTCAAAAGACAGCATACGCCTGTGTGACAGACTGGGAACTAGCAAACACATGATGGCTCTGGTCAGGAAACTGGCCATGTGCTTAAAATAAATAGTTGAGGAACCTACACTGAACTATCCTTGGAGCTCTACCGGGGGAACATAGGAGACCAAGGGCCTACTTACAGCTATCTTCAAATTTGTTTTCGTATGATTCACATTTATCTCTGTGTACAAGAAATGCTTTTGCTCACAAAATATATATATATATATAATTATAGATCACTTTAAATAGAAAGTCAAATTTATACAACTCGCTAGAGGCTGAAACACACCAGTTAAAATGTTACACAGAAGCATGCATTTCGTAGCGCAGAAGTTATAGCCGTGAAGTTGAACCCCACAGCTAATACATACTTCCACGCTGTGATAGTATAAACATACAGAAAAGAAACATTTTTGACCTTCAACATTATTAAAATAAAAAGATATCAAATCTGTAGAGGTTCAGCAAACAATATCTGTCTGATCCTGAAAGGCACAAGTACCAAAGGCTCTCATCTAGCTGTAAAAATATGCAGGCATTAAAATCTTCACAATATACCAAAGGCACAGGGGGTGACAAGGATCATCGACTCAGCGACGAGAAGTTGGCTGCTGTTTAACTGGCTTCAGGGCATCGGCGTGCCATGTCCGTAAGTTAGCAAGAGCCCTGTTGAGCTTATTGCACCACACAATGCGCTCTTCTTTAGAATCGGCAGACACTTGATGTCTGAATAGGAAGAAAAAGAGGAACAAACAAAATGTGATGAAATAAGTGAGACAAAATGAAAGGAAAAAACAAATGCACATGAGGAAAAAAAAGAATGGGAAATCACATGAGTCTCTGCTAGCCTGATGTGTTTGAATGAGTTTCACAATCCTATATATTGCACAAAGTGTCACTTAACATACTCAGAGCTGTAAAAAAACAATACTTGCAGTTTATCAAAAGGTTAATTGTAAAAATGGCAGTTGGCTGCAGTTTTAACACTAAATGAACTATCAAATAAAGCCAGCTACACAGATCCACATCATAAACAGAATATAGGTAAAAGTTGACACTAAAAACTTTGTTTTTCAGGGCAGGAACCCAAATCCAAAGTATTGGGGGTGTACGTGCTGGCACGCATGGGCACCTGCACTGTTGTGTGAGCTTATACCAATAAATTTAAAAAATGGGTTAGTTCAGAACAAAAGCCTCTAAATCATATAAGATCATGGTAAAAAAATGGCTCCACTTAGTATTGACAATATGAAATAAGTGTGGAAATTCATCTGTTGCTTACAAAGCATCCCGACATTATAACAGACAGTTAAAAATTCAAAAAACTTCAGAATCTCTTTTCTCTCTGCAACAATTTGTACCTTTCCCCTAATTCGAACTGAACTGCTGTGCTAAGTGGCCCAAAACAAAACTTTTTCTCTCGCATTCTTTCTCAACAAACAGAGCCATCAAACTGATCATACATTGCCAGTGCCCTCGCCGTGACCCTCACCTGACTGTGGTCATAGTGTTGTGTGTCTTTGTGACCAGGGTGTCGTGCTCTCCCTTCAGAGGCTGCCTCACAGTGACCATTTCAAAGGTGTTCGGACGGGCGCACACATCACGGGACACCAGACCCACTTTCTCTGTTATGCAGCGTTTCAGGTCGATGAGGAACATAGGGTCCTGAAAAATAAATAATTTTATAGATATAAAGTTTATCATTTCCCAAAATCTTGGTGGTTTTTTTGCTTTAGTAACTTGTGTTAAACTGTGCTCGCAACTGCATATGGTCATATGAGCCCACGGGACACATTAAACATTTCCAGTTTGGTAGGAATTAGCAAGAATCTTTATCTTTCTGCTTTGTGATAGGTTCATCTATTAATGGAACGGTTTGTGTCCACAGGCAGTGATTGTTGAAGGTAAACTAATAGAAATCTCATAAAAAAATAAAAAGTAAAATATAGCATACACAACTGTTGTTCATTTGAGTTTTGAAACAAAATGAACTATTGCAATAAGGGGCAACAGCCTATGTGGAAAGAAACATACCTTTCTTGTCTCATCGTCCGGGTACTTCCAGATACACAGCTTGTTCCCAGACAGAACACACCAGCGGCGATGCCATGCACCAAATCCACTGACGTCATCAAACATGGTCTGAAGACACAAATTGAAGTTGATGCAAATGAACTCGAAAAATTCTTCTTTTAAACGTTAAGAGAGAAGATGAATATAAAAATCTAATACTCAGTCACAAAAAGGTTTGTCCAACACAACCATTTCAGCACTGACCCTGATATCCTTTTAAATTTTACCCAAAATATATAATGGTACAAACAAATACCATCAAGTAAAGAAATTAAGGCAAGAAAATAGGTCTGTCCACCTAAAATATTTCAGTGATTAAAAAATACTTTTAGTTGAAATTTTGTGCTGAAAAAATCTGAGTGGTCTTTCTTGTCTCAGTGTAAAGACTTTCAAACTGCACAATAATACAACAAAACCGTCCTTCACAAATTATTCCTTAAGAATAAAGACTGAAAATTTTACACGAAGCAGAACTTACGAGGAATCCCCTCTCTTCAACGTTAGACTCCATCAAGCACTTCAAGCGCATGAAAATCTGTCCATACAGCGGCGACAAGTACGGCAACTGGAAGGGGACAAAAATCAGAAAAAGTAAGACACTGACTTCTACACTGGCCTACATTTTTCTAGTCTCCAATTGCTTAATCCACAGTCTGATAAAAAAATCAATTATATAAGAGAGATTGCACTGATATGGCAAACGGTTCACAGCTACCAGGTTATTAAGATCCAAAACACAATAAAATTGATTCGTTTTTGGGTTGTTTTTTGTCTTTTTCTATTTTAATATACATAACTAACAATATTTCAACATTTGGAGCAAAAAGAAGCTGATGCACCAGCAAGAAAAAGATCATATCATATACATTTAAAATGTCATTATGCACCAGAATGAAACCTAAGCATTATTTTTCCAAGACCTAACTTCATCCATGTCATCTACTTTAGCAACGGTACAGAACAACGGTCTGCAACGTCATCAACCTTCCAACATCCACTATCTGATGTCACATACAAAATGTTAATCTCAATGATTTTACTCACTGTGTAGGACCAAACAGAGTTACTTTTCTTGTAACAGCAATGATATATATGGATAAAAGTTAGAAATATTACCAGGTGGTTATTACTTGGTCTCTCCTCACTACACAACCATTACGGTCAATTAAACCAAAATCGCAGGTCCCCAACTGAGTGACATTTCAAAGGCAGGGATTTCCCCACTTCCTCTGTCTCATACACGCATTAAATAACACATCTCTTACTCTGTCCAAGTGGAAAGATGACTTGTCCAGACATTTCATGGTGAGGTGCAGAGACGTGACATGGCTGAAACTTGTGGTTCTGACAGCTGTTGGGCCTCCTGGACTTTCCACTGTTATATAAGACATTCACAAACATTCAGTCTTCATAGGAAAAAGTTGCCTAATTTGAATATTATAACACAAACAGCAGATCATGGGCACAGGTCAGGAGCATTTTTTCTGAATAAGATCATGCTGGCACTTTTAGTAATTTTGGCTCAAGCATCTTTTTACTTCTTTAGTTTTAGTAAAAGTTTTACGGCACTTGCAATACAATAAGGTCATATAAGTTCTGAAAATTAGAGGCGTTACAAGAGAGTAACAAACACAAAAAAGGAGGGGAGATAGAGATGATAGATTTTTTATAGGAAAGAAGGAGCAAACCACACCAAAGCACCCGCCAACCACCCACTTTGATTATCTTTGACGCCTTCCTGTTCAGATTCATAGTTAACAATGGCTGCCCATTTGTTCAACTTCCAGTGAACATAACAATCATCTAGTGTATCTTGAGTCTTTGAGCTTAGCGGAGGACAGGTGTGGTCAGTTCACATTTTAAAAGTCATAATGAATCAACCAATGACGTTACTATAGAAGTATTTTGCAAATATAAATCAGAAGAGTTGTTGACCATCATTTCATGTGTTCTATAGCAAATAAGGTTATTGTAAGAATCAACTGAAATTCTAGTTTTTTAACTCAACATGTTCACTTGAGACAATTGTAATCAAAATAAAAAGACAAGTAAAAGTGAAAATGTGAGAAACAGTAAAAGTGAAAAGGTGAGGCAAAATGGCTGGTGGCTTATTTATACAAATTCACTCGATTCACCACTATGTGTTGTCTACAACAAACAAGAAGTGCATAAAACATTTATCATATATATTTAAAAACAAAATGTTAACAAAAATAAATAGGTGATACTAGTGTGATATCAAAATCAACTTACAAGACATGGCATAGCCTTTTCCCTTCTTTGGAGTCTTCTTCTTTTTGTCCTTGCTGAATTCCTTTGAAATGCTCTAGATTGAAAAAAATAAACGTCACTTGAAGAGCAGTCAAATAGAGATTTCCATAATATTAACCCCATCTGTATGCCCAGGAGTCATTTTGTACCCCCGGGGTTGTATTCTTCACATTTTAGAATGCTTCTAGAACAATAATAAATAATAGATAGCATTTGTATAGCGCATATCCCCGCTCAGCAGCAGGCTCTATGCGCTTTACACTATATTATTACCCCAGCAGACCATAGAACACTCCGAAATATTCTCAGCTTCTCGGGAAGCATACAGTGCAAGCAGCCGATTAAGCGCTCAAACACTAACAAACTGACAAGATCTTTCGCTGTCTATAGCCGGGTACCCATTCCCACCTGGGTGAAGTGAGGAAAATTCGTGTAAAGTGCCTTTCCCAAGGACACAACGTCGGGCCCTTGACGGGATTCGAACCCACGACCTTGCGGTTGCGAGTCCGAGAGCCTAACCACTAGGCCACCGACGCCATAAAGATCTCTTAGAAACGTTCAGTACTTCTCAAAAAATCATTTTGACAGACTGCTATGCAAAGCATACGGATTGGATTAACGAGTAAACTTCCTCTTTGGAAAGTGGTGGCACAGAGTTCTCCAGGTCGTATGGATACGATAGTAAAACACGACGTACGGATAGGGTTAAGTTCACTAACCACTACAAAACTTATAAAAATATCCTTTTTCAAGCTTCTGCCCTAGCATGCAAAAGATGAAAGTGTTATGAAACACCATCCCAATTTTAAAACCCATTTCAGATAGTTTTTATAGAACTAAATTTGCATTGTTACTTTTCTATTCTTTGGAATGGTTACCGGGAGCTTTGAAGTTAACCTCAGTGACAAAAAAAAAAATTTGTTCTCAGAACACAAGGGGCAAAACCATTGTCACTGCAAGTGAATTTATAGATCAACTGTGACAGTCATGACACAGACAAATCATTTACCATGCTGTATATGTCCAAAGTGAGCTTGAAATTGCCAGTGATTCCATTTATTTTGATCAGATTGGGGAAATCCAAGCTTCCTCTCATCATGGGATCGTGAGTGGACAGCATCTGAGTGCAGATCACTTGGCAGTTGTTTCTTATCAGCAGGATGAAGTAGTGTGTGGTGTTATCTGGAAGGCAACAAACCGAGTTGTGACACAAAGAAGGAAAATCAAAAACCCCAAGAAGAAGCTCATAGAGAATTTGAAATGTAGCTTTGCAGTTTACAGAGATTCAGCACGTTAAACACTTTATTCAAACCTGAAACAGACTAGGATTGTTTTTTAAAAACCAAAAAATAGAACAGATCAAACTAAAGAGCGCACCCATTGCATAAGATAACGAAAAGATGCAGCATGAGGACAAAATTCAACTGTGAGAACTTTTCACTAATAAAAGAAGATAAGACACTGGCATCCTATTAATTCCCAATGTGTATGATGAAGTGCCGTTTCTGTATATTTATTTTCCTTCCAAAATAATGTGTATGATCAAACATTGGCAAAATAATCCATGCTGACTAATGCTATTCAAAGAACAGTAAGAGGCACACACATCCATGAGTTCGATTCAGTTTTTGCAGAAATTGTTGCCCCTCAAAAGTCAGTATGAACTACAGTCCAAATCCTAAGAAGAAGAAATACAAGACAACAAACAAAATTAAGACAGCTTACCTTGTGATGTGCCAATTTTAGTGACAAATTCTTTTTTCAGCGGCAACCTGATGTCACTGATGGTAAGGGAGCCTTGAGGGCCGGGACCCTCGGGATGAAGGACCCCACTGTCCTTGAGCCTTTGGATCTCTGTCATGTAACATTGGCGCTTTTGACCTGAAGAAAAAAAAAGGTACCAAATTAGTCACATGGAAATTTTTCAACTGATAAAAACAATAAAAATAAATAAATAGCATTTGTATAGCCCATATCCTCGCTCAACAGCAGACTCTATGCACTTTACACTATATTATGTGATAAAGACAAGATGTTTGCTAGCCAATTAAGGACATGTCCAGAAACAGTAATCTGCCTCAGAGAAAATGGCATAGTACTTGCCTTTAACAATAACATCGATTTATATAGAGCTCAACCCCGATTAAAGTACACAGGCTCCTAACGCTTTATAAACTAACATAAACACTTTGGAGACGTTTTCACACAGAGTTATGGAAGGGAGGGAATTAGTGAATACCCGAATTGTGAATGGTTGAATCAAGAAATGAGGATGGAAGGGAGGGGCAACTTTAAACGCCATAAGGAGCTCAACTTCTCAAATTTTTAGGCCACACAATTTCACTTACAGGCAATGAGAAGGACTCTGTTGCATTCCACCTGTTCAGCTGAGCCCGCAAAATAAGAATTCCCAAGGCAACACTTGTTTAAGGCATTGCTTGTCTGCATTATGACATTTTGTTCTTGTTGAACCAGCTCTTGAAGCTCCTGAGACGCGGGAAATACAACAATAGAATAATGAAATCCCAATAATACTTATCATTTAAGTAGGGATAATTTGAGACTCACAACTAAGCTTAAATCGTGTCATTTGATAAATCTCAATAAAGCATCAGCTGAAACTTGCTCTGTTCATAAACTTTTGAACAATGCATGTCAACATACTCAACTGTGATATTCAGTTGTAAACATCAAAAGGTTTAGAGATGGAGACACTTTTTTGAAAAACTTCCGTAAACAACTTATTGCAAAATATTTTGCCTAATGTCATGAAAGATAATTGATATAATGTCACAATCTGTCCAGATATAATGCTCCTAGCCTAACAATTCAGCTTTTTAGAGACCTAACATGCATAAATTGTACATCAAACAAAGCAGCACATTTATGCCGCTTTGGTAAACTGAACCTACATGCACAAACAGTGAACAAAACAAGGATGAAACATCTAAAGGGGAATTGTGATTGTAACAAACCTTGATGCGCTCCTGCACCAGCCTCCGGTCATCACGCTGTGGCCTAGATGATGTGGGCATTTCAATTTCTTCCTCTTCCACCTGGCGTCCTGCATACCTACTAGCTCGAACAACGGGCTCCATCATTTGCAAATGCACATTCCTGCATTGAAAGAGTAAACAGTGACACGACTATGCAGACAGACAGTGCTGACAGACCAACAGTTATAATTATAGTGATTACTTGACCTTACGGAGACAAAAAAAAAAAACAAGATGTAGGTAGGAAGAAGAATAAAAAGAGTGGGAAAGTTGTTTTGGTTTTTATAACATCTTTAAAGGCATATATTTATGTATACATTTCAGTAAGAAGGAATACATTTTTCACTAGAAAGGAAAGAATAAATTTTTTCACAGAATTTTACATTTGGCTCGTCATAAGAGCTAAACTGCAAGCTACATCATTGGCAAAACGTTCACATTTCACACTAGAATGGAGGCATTCATTTGGGGGGAAAAAGGCAACAATGAGACACGTTATCTTTCTCAAATATATGTTGAGAAACCCTCTATGAAATTGGTATTCCCTCCTAAGTGTTTAGTTTCTTTTGCCATTCTGTAAATGTGCTATCAAGCAAGTAGTTCAACATATAAAACAAAATCTTACGCGCTTTTTCTGTATGCTTGAAGGCTATATGGTCGGTCGTCTTCCTCATCATCATCAGTAGAATTCACATTCAACTGATGGCGTTGAGCCTGCAATATAGTACATTTAAGAGTCAGTGGGCTGCAGTCATACACAATAGTAAAGAAAAGTACAATAAACAACAGATGGCACCAAACACAGTGTAGTGCTGGAAGTAAAGTTTACAAACAAACCATTCCATATAATACAAGTTTATCTAAAACACCAAGAAGAAATATTTGCCTGTTATATAAAGTACTCACTGCACAAAATGTATCTTTATGGCTGAAATACCCGCAGTCATGCCCAAAGTTGTGTTATTAGGAAAGACACTTTACACAAAAATTTCCTTTTTATCAAAGTGGGATGGTTGCAAAGCAAAGAGAGAAAAAAGGCATGCAGCGCTGATGCTTGCCAAGATGCCGAGAATGTTTCCAAATGTTATAAGCTCTTAGTTTTAGTAAGAATTTAACGGACTTGCCATACAAAAGGGTTATAATATAAATTAAACAGATTAGAGGTGTCACAAGAGAGTAACAAAGACAAAAAAGGAGGAGAGATAGGGATAGACGTTCGATAGAAAAGAAGAAGCAAACCACACTAGAATACCCGCCAACCAACTACATGTTATAGGGTCTGTTAGTGACAATAAATGAAAATAACTTCTTAAGAGCATGGAGCCTAATTTCTACATAGGATAGGCACTGTATATGAAAGGGATTCATTATTTGTTACAACCAAAAGGCTTTGATATTATGTAAATCCAAAATATCAGATGAACCTAACAATCACAAAAAAAGTCAAAATCACAAAACATACGTCAAACTAGCCCTGAAAAGAGTAAAAACCAAAAAAAAATATTTAAAAAAAATACAACTTAAAACAGAATCATGCTTTACTTTAAATTTCACCAAAAAAGCGTTCATAAAAAGATAGTCTGTCTAACTAAATGAAATGTATAGATTAAAGATGAATACACATATAGCATCCAAATCTATTTTATGATTCACACACAGAAAGTAAGCAACAACACCATGACAAAGCACAGTATTGTGCATTTTTGTCTTTTTTGGGGGGGTAAGTGTTTTACGGCGCTCGCAACTGCATTAGGTCATATGAGCGCGCGATTTTTGTCTTTATGAACACTCATTATTATAGAAAAGCATGAACACTTACGGGAACAGGCTGAGGTTTTCGCCGTAGGACCACATTGTTTTCATCCATATCCGGATCATAGTCATCTGACGGTGTTTCGGATGGCTTCCTCCTCATGACAACATTCCTAGGATCCATATCCGGGTCATACTCCTCACTGTCATCCATAGCTTCATCCAGCAAGTCATCTACAGCATTGCGATCATCATCGTCATCATACATGCTGTCATCATCATCAGGCTGGTAGCCACCTGCTTGAGAGGACGGGCCTGCAACATTGCGTCTCCTCTCTCCTCTTTTGCCATCATCGTCATCATAACTGTCCAGACTCGAGTGGCTGTTTGCTCTGCGCTGCATAGAAGGTGGAAGAATACTTTCTCTTCGCGTAGCCTCAGATACAAAACCTTTCAAACTGATGTCATCATCATCAATCTCCATTGGAAGCCTACAGAAAAAAAACAAGTACTTCAAAATTTCCATGTCAATGGACAGTTTAAATACAAGCAAAAAATCTCTTCTTTTAAGCAACAATGTAGACTTGAGGTTTTAACAAAACATGGTCTATAACTCCAACCACATATTTATTTTATTTACGATTTACGATAAAGGAGAGTCTTGACAATCATTTTAACCCACAAAGGTGACGAGGCAATATAAGTAAACTAAAAAAATGTTTACACTCAAATCTGAATAGAGCCATGGCAAAAATCATCTTTTGACTTCGACTTTTCATTAGAAAATGATCAAAAAAATTCTCAAATAACAGTCAACATTACATGGGTGAAAATGAATAGCTGAAAGAGAGGCGTTTTATATATTGCAAGGTTTGGGTTAAACCTCAAATGCTTCCCCTCTAAAGGTTTACAATTTTTAAAGCAGTAAAGGAGTGCAGCAAGTGTTGGAAATGGGTTAAAACAGTGGAAAAGTAATTCAGTACAAGCATAATTTCTCTTTAGATCTGTTTTTTGATTTTACAAAAGACAGACTGAACAAAGAAGCATTTGGTTGCAGTGAGGATAGCACAGGTTCAGAAGATAAGAATAAATGACTGAATCAGTATCCAAAAGAACAAAGCCTGACTGACAAGCAGTAAAGGAAAAAGAAATAGAAATCTCACTTGTCACTAGATCCAAATTCTTCATCTCCAACTTCAGAACTGCTGGCCGCATCAGTATCTGTATCTTCAACAGAAACAACAGGAGGCTCTGGTTTCTTAAATTCAACTTCTTTCTCTTGAGAATTCTGTTTCGCTGCCCTCAAACCTGCTGTGCGAGGTATCTTTTGCTGTGTCTCTTCATCACTATCATCAAAGCTATTGTTTTGCTTCATCTAGGTGAAGAAAAAGAACAAAACAGCAAGTAAACAGGCTGCACATCTTCAAGTGTACCCCTCTTTCAGGAAGGATTACAAAAATAACATGGCCAGGTTTTCAAAGTGTAAATTAGTTAGACTCAGTAGCTTATGGAAGATGTTCCACTTAACGGAAAAGTTCGACCAATACAAGTAATTCATGTGACATGACAAATTACCAAGCAATTTTGAACAATCAAAAGCAAAATAAAACCTCTACAATGTTAGACCCTTTACAATCATATTTCTGTCCTTTTAACATTATCAATTTAGTTTTTACATGGATGCCGACTCTAGTGCAGTAACACAATATGTGAGCATTCAAAATAACAAACTCATTAAAGGTATAGCTCATAAATAAGAAAAAGCACCAAAACATAAGGACACAAGTGAAATCCCGAGACATTTTGATCACCTACAGCTGTCACTATATATGGGATAAGGATAGGACACTCCATCATTGAAATATTCAATTCAGAAAATGAAACATACGAAAGAAATGAGGTTTTAAGAACCCTTGGGCAGAGGGGAAAATCTTAACTCTATTCAAACATTTTGTATTTTCTACTCAATGTATCAAAGTAATATGTCACTAGTAGGCTATATCTCTAAGTAAAATTTTTTATACATATAAATAGACCGATCGTAGAGAAACAGTAAGTCAACTAACTAAAATTCTTACTTTGTCCGTTGCAACACTAGCAGTCTCTTTCTTTGACTCATCCCTTTTCTTGATCAAGCTGTATATGCTCCCAGTGTGACTGCTTGATGCTGAGCCACAAGGAGTGGATTTAGACGCCGATGACATCAGAGGAGGAGGGGGCCGTACAGGAGTCTTTTTCTCTGAGGTCACCAAGCTGTCACTAGCCATGTCAATTTCTGCTAATTTGCTGTTGAATTCTGCAAGACATTGAAACACAGAGACATGTGGAATACATTTCTTCTCTCTTTTGTGAGTTTTAGATTTTCATTTCAGATCCAAAATTTTTCCCATCTTTCTTTGTGGAATCTTATCCTTGGCTGTTGAAAAGCAAAATGTGCACTTGTGTGGTCCATTCATCTCATAAAATTTCTTTTTCAATATTTTAAGTCTACTTTTGATTTCTGTTCCATATACTTCTGAGTTTGATATATTTTTTGCTGCATTATCGAGACAATTTCATTTTTATTTGGTCATGTGAGCACTACAAACAGATCTCCCATTTTCACCTTGACTTAGTTTTTGTTTAAAAGAAAGGATGATCATTTATAAGAATTTCCGTGTATATATGTGTGAAACGTGCTGACAAAATGAGTTATTTCTCGTTGTCCCCAAATGGGGATATTGGCCAAAAATCGACACTGGGGTCAAATATGTAGATTTTCTATTGATGCCATATTCTTTATGTGTAACATGCCTTTTATTATTTCATACCTATAAATTGTAAAAAAATTCACCTATAAACGTGATATATTCCATATATAAGGGTTGAATCCGAGAAGAAATTCATTTTTTCAGCACGCTTCACATATGGTAAAAATTTTACTTATCTACAATTTTATAATACAATATAATATTCTTCTAAGACCATTACTATGACAATCCTAATTGTAGCATTGCTTTCTGGATTTTTCTCATATCAATTTGAATAACTGCCATTTAGAACTCATGGCGTGAGTCAAAATCTGCTCCAAAAAGCGCACAATTTATAATAAATAGTTAACCAAATATTTTTCGATAATTTATATTAGACCCCACTGTCTTATAAGCAAAAGCTAAACACAATAAAACAAGTGTTAACATTTAACACTTTTCCATCACAAGGCTCATAGAGTAAAAACTCTTGCCATCAAAGGCAAAGGTATATTAGGAAAAATCCAAAGAAACTGGGCGGTAAACATCGTCGTTCGGCAAGATGAGGCGGCAAAGTGTTAAAGAGTACAACTCCAATACCTTCTCTGGCTTTGTTGCGTGATTCCTCTCTCTTTCCCCCTGGAGTTTTCTGTTCGCTAGTCTGTTTCGGCAGGGTCTCCTTATCTGCAGTGCGACTTGATGACTCATCAGTTTTCTGCAGAGCAAATGTTCATATTGCAACGTCATGAAAATGGAATAGCATCAAGAAAATAAGCCAGTTAGTGGCCGCAACTCAGCACAAAAATAGCCATATTCACACCATAACAGATTTGGAGGATACTACAACTGAAGTGTAAGTGCAAAGGTTTTTCTTATTGTTTTCAAAACTCCCCCCCCCCCCCAAATCAATTATTCAATTACATAAAAATGAATGTGGAGGGAGTACTCCTTTTTTTTTTTTTTTCAAAACCCCCCCCCCCCCCCCAAATGACTTCAGCAATTATCGAATGAGCGTGAAGGAGGATTTGCCCCATTTTCTTTTCTTTTAAAATGTGACCTGTTTCCACAATGAGCTTTCACTACAGAAAAAGGCACTGTGATTTGTATAAAGTGCCTGTACTTCACCCCTTTTGAAATATATTTCCCATTGATAGATGCCCACAGATCTACTTAACTGGATTAAGTTAACTTTTTAACAGTAGAACATTCAATTCAAAAGTCACATTATATTATTAAAAATCTTTCATGCAGAAAAGGGAGAAAAATAATATGTTTACTACAGCCCCCACGTGATAGATATTTCCATTCATCCACATTGACCCTGTTAGCCTTTTTCAATGTTAAGAGGGTTGAAGTCCTATAAATATAAGTTCTGAGTGTTCCAAATTTGCTTGACTCATCAAATGCTGAGGTGTAACCTGTTCCTCATGCATCTATTTTCCCTGTCCTGTATTGAAGATTTTTCTGCATGCTTTCCACCTCCTTTTTTCAAAATTAGCTTAACATCAACATTGACAACACAGGTAATAAAAATTAGACCGCAACTGACACAGGAATATTTGCTCTTCTGGGGGGCATCACTCTCATTCAAAAGTCACAGAAACTCATTTGCCGGCATCAGTCACCGAAAAAACAATGAACACAAGGTGTCAGTCAACACAGTAGACAGCAACCCATATTTAAAGGGTATGCCATACATCAACAATGCAGGGAATAGGTGGAGTTAGCCTTTCCAATTTTTGCGTAAAGGACAAAGTAAGCTCTGTAACTTTGTGCTCTCTTCTAAAAAACAAATCCAGAAAAATAATGACCCGTCAAAAGACCAGATCTACACTGAATGCACCACAGGAAAATGCGTCTTGCTGTATTGTTTGACCAGGTTTAACTATGAAATCAAGTCGTCTTCTCAGTCCTATCCCACTAAAAAAAAAACATTCACTGTATATATTACTATCTTTAACCAGTTCAAAAACAATATCACATGAGGCGAAGATTCTTTAGAAAAAGAAATCTTGTTTATGTACTCACTACTGCATCAATGATGAATCTTGAGAAAAATTATTTTAAAACATAAAATTATAGACGGGAAGTCTGAAAAGAAAAACTCACAGCAACAGTAGAAGAAGAGGAGTCCTCCTTCAAAACCCCATTCTTCCAGCGACCTTGAATAGCCTCCAGTTCAGCCAAGCGAGCAGCCCTGCTCTGGGCAGCCAAAGCACTGCAACTAGTACTGCTGTCATGTGTGACTTCTGCAAGTCGCTGCTGGACTATTTTGGTGCCTGTGCTTACCTGAGCCAAAAAAAAAGAAGGCAGAGCGTAAACAGTTTATTTATTGTAGAATAGAAAGTTTAACCAAGATTTTAGGCACAAGCATTTCTTTTGCTGCTGCAGCATTTTCTAACTTCATCTCAGAGTGGCTTGAGTCACATCACAGGGCTATTTTTCCTACAACATTGTGAAAGCAGTTATCTTAAAATAGTCATGCAATGTTTCACAAGCTATTTAAGATGCAAGATATATAAATGACTATCCACTCAAGGGTAGAAGCAATTCTGAAGTAATTCTGAACATGCAAATAGTAAATTCAATTTAGCTATTGGTACCCATTTTCTTGGTATTACTTCTTTCTTTCAGTTCTTTGAGCTCATTTCTAAAACCAGACTTGCCTTTCAACTGGTGATTTTTAAACAATTCTTTCTTTTGTTTCACTTCCACAACTTTCAGGGATGAAATCCACAGGAACATCAAAGTATGTTAATGACTATGACATCTTTAGCCATTAATCACTTTTTCATATCAAACATTGGAGGTTTTATTCTGTCAATATACATAAGGCACTATAATTAGGCTCTAAATTAGCATGACATTGATACTTCAATCTATTACAATCGTTTCAAACATTTAAAAAACTGGTAAACAAACCTTGGTCGGTGAATGAATTTTAGTAGGGGATGTTCCTCTCTTCGCCGGAGTCTGAGTTTTCTCAGGACACGACTTGCTGGGAGAGGTACTGGTTACTGCCACACCTTTCCTTGCCCAAACTTCAGAAGCTTTGTCCTGAATGCTTTCCTTAAAGCTTTTGCCTGGGGTCAAGCCTTTGGGTGTAGCTGGAGGAGGGGGAGGGTTCTGGCAGAATATATCGTACATATTAACTGTCAATTGCTACAAAGTTCAACTTTTATAGACGGGTTACAGAGTGACACAACACATTCAAGTTTAAAACGTTGACATGAGAAAAGTAAATTAAAACATCTATTTTAGTAACTCCTCATTTCACGGCAGCAAAAAGGAGCCTGATGTATAAAATTAGAGGGCCAATCACAGATACAAAAAAGAGAGATGAAAGATTCTCCTCTGTAAGCGCTCATTTCATTGAGAAAATTGATGTGATAAGTAAGTATTATTTGTGAAATGCTGTGTTCAATGTATACAAATTAAATAAAGAAAAATATCGTTTCAGTTTAAGTGTCTTATGGCACTTGCAACACAATAAGGTCATATAAGTGCCGAAGATCAAAGGTGTTACATGGGAGGAACAAACACAAAAAAGAAGGAGGGGAGATAAAGATGATAGATATTTGATAGGAAAGAAGAAGCAGACCACACAGAGCACCAGCCAACCATCCACGAAAAATATCGAGAAACTGGTAATTTCCTATATGACAAAGAAGAATTCACGTAGTCAACCCTCCTAAAGATCGATATTGTCCAAGACGGCCACCCATTATCGAGGAGAAAAATGGTTTGTCTTAGGTGGAAGTCTTGGACAGTGCCATTATAATATTTTTAAAAAGGCAAAGGGGGAAGTGAGGAGTGGTTATTTGTTTTAGTTTTAGTAGAGGTTTTACGGCACTCGCAACTGCATACGGTCGTATGAGCACCAGAAGATTAGAGTTGTTACAAGAGAGTAACAAACATAAAAAAGAAGAAGGGGAGATAAGGATGATAGATGTTTGATAGGAAAGAAGGAGCAAACCATACCAGAGCACCCGCCACCCACCCACGAAGTGGAGAGTGGTCATTTGTGCAGATGATTGTCTTGGACTGATGGCCGTAAACACAGGCTCAACTGTACTAAGAGAAGTGCAGAAAAGACCAAAGAGTCAACTCCCATTAAACAGACATTTAGTTGGAGGGCGCTACACCGGCTCCATTTCATATTTACCGAAGGTGCAGGCTGTGAATACACAGGAGCGTTGGGTCTGGGGGTTGCAGTAGTACCTGCAACTTTGGCCTTGCTTTTGGGAGTGGCATCAGCTGGGTTGACCTGTTGATATGTAAGACAAGCATAGCTGTATTGTCCTTATCCTAGTGAAAATGTTTCACATAACTACTGTAAGTAGAGTCAGAGAAAAATATTGCTCTCGGTGAACCCAAGAAAGACTTTTGAGTCGTTTGTATTTTTATTTAGTGAAAAGTAGGACATGGTGCAGGGGAGGTGCACCCAATCAGATGCCAATCGAGTCGCGCCTCTTTCAATGATGTCCACATACTTTACAATGAAAGCTACATTCATCATCAAGTTCTAAAAAAAAAGCTTTAAAAAAAATGTATTGTATCTGTCACGAGACAAATGAATACTTCCTATTTTTTCCACTCACCACTGACCAGGGTAAAAAAAAAAATCACTTAACTTTCTTGCTACAGAGATGATACATACAATTAAAAAATAACAAGCAAAAATAGGAAACTTGATTGAAGACTGTATCACAGATACTATGAGGGTAAAGTGATAACACAACACTTGTAACAGCTCAACTGCATCAGCTTAATGTAGGTTTGTATACAGTGTTTATATTGAGACAAAAACAAAAAGTCACATCATAGAACAGGTCTAGGGAATTCTCAACTGGATTCAAGGAGATACTTGCTAAAAATACAGATCGAATGCTCAAGCAACAAAACAGTGGACAGATCATTTGAAGAAAACTGCAACCTTTCCATCTCCACCTACAACCTCAAATCAAAAACAACAAAAAGTACAGTTAATCCGTGATATAACAAAGTACTCCCCTTAAAACATACTCAGCTGTAACATTCATTTTCTGAAGTTCCAAGTCCTACCTAGTATTTTTTCTTTTCAAAATCTGCGTCTAAATAATAACCTCGTAAATGTACTTTTTGCTATATAACATTCACTTTCCAAGCGATCTTAGTGATGAAGTCCATTAACATCGTGCATTATACCAAGGTTTTACCATATTTCCAAAAACAGTTTCACGCAACATTTTGTAAGCTTCTCCCCCTCTGTGACAGACCAAATCAAGGTCGTCATTGAGGTGGTATCAATCAATAATATCAAAATACCAGGACTAAACTCTAAAGCATATAGGAAGTGTATCTTTAGGATGTAACAAATTCTCTAACCAGTGCATTAAAGAGAGGCCCAAATAAATAAAACCCCACACCTTTTTGATATCGCTAACTTGATTAGAGGACGTCATGGTCTCCCAGGCGGACATGCGAGCACCAACAGAGAAGGCAGTGGGCTCGCTGTCCTTGCGTTGGGACCTGGGGGTTGTCACATGAGCCAGCTTTTCCTGCATTTGAGACATGCGCTGGGACACAGGCAGCTCCGAAGGGTCAAAGTTCTTGCTTCTGCTGGCAGCTGGAGTTGATGCAGATAGCGCTGGGGTGCAAACCTAGAGGAACAAAAGAGAAACTGACTATCAGTTCTTCCTTGCATAGGCAATTAATAACTGAATTGACTAGAAATGGGAATACAGTCCATCACCTGTACAAACGACCTCTACCCACTTCCTCTCTTGCCTCTTTTTATATTATAATTTAAAATTATAATGACACTGTCCAAGATAATCACTTTCCTCCTGGGCAATGGGTGGCCGTCTTGGATATGAAACAAATAATGTGCTGTTACATGCATTCACCTGTGTTGAGTAAGTGTGAGAATGGGAGCATTACGTCATTCAGTAAAAAGTTGTGTATTTAAAACAAAAAAGCAATACACTTTAACCATTCAAATTATTTTTCATTAGTACATTTAACACCATCTTAAAAAACTATTAAAAAAACAACAATCAAACAAAATCAAGTCCCAAAGTTCAACAAGGCATAAGTCTTTCCATCTTGCACATGATGCTTGTTACGTTTTAACTGCTTAAGCAAATTTTTTCAAGAGAACAAAGAGAAAACAATATATAGTCCCTTCTAAAATATTTCATTTACCTAAGAAACTGCATATGCAAGATAGGTTACTCCTTTAAATAAATCTTCCACAATATTTAGAGATGGCTATTCGTACTCATTTAGACATTTCGTTTAGTCTTTCTGACAAAAGCTCATTTGGAACAATCTTTGTTCCTACTCTTGATATATACAAAACAATAAACAATTATTTCCCAGGTGCAACATACTGCTTGCACTATCGAGGCTCTTTTATTTCCACAAATCTCAAAAAGTGAAGTGAAAAATGTTCTGTGCACATTTGATTTGGTTTGGCTCTTACGGAGTTCAAAATTTTGAATATCAAAGTACTGAATTAAATGTTTTAAATGATCCAAAAAAAAGTTTGCCATGCTATGCTATACATTATGAGAACATTGCAACGATAGAAAATTAAAAACTATGAATGAAATAGGGTATATTAATAGAAATACTAAAGCACATGCCGTTATTGAAGGGGTATTCTCCCAATCTACGAATGAGAGCAGAACATCTTCAAAAAGCAGACACTCAGATCCTCTCTTGTAGAAAAGCAAGTCTCTTACATAATACTAAATAAATAGCCAACAAATTTAGACCAATGAAACAAAATTAGAATGGCACCAAAAAATCCCAATTTGGGTACTCAATGATTTTGAATTTTCACTGCTCAACCAGGTGGGCTCTTCTATACTTGAAATTGCGCAAAGAGCTCATCAGACTTCTTTTCCAGGAAAACTATCGGATCTATTCCACCTACTCCTTAAGTGAAATATAAACAAAATGAAAGCCCAGAATCCCAACAGCCAATACGAACCAGGCATACAAACAACCTATAACCTTTAGCTTAAGTCAGAGACCACCACTGTAGCAGAAAACCAACTAAGCTACCTGAAAAGCTTAACTAAGAGAGAAGATGCAGCCACTACCTAGAAACAGTCACCCCTCACTACACAGTTCACTAGATAAGACATTATGAGAATGGCAATGCATGTGTCAGAATGTGTCCTTATTTTTCTGACCTTACACCTTACCCAATTCCACTGGAACTGCATTCTCAACAGTATAATCTAAAATTAATCTTACAAAAGTGATTTCTCTGCCATAAATATAAAACATACGACTGTAAATTCAAAACAATGTAGGTGTTTGGAGGGTGTCACTGGTAGGTCCTACTTCTTTCCTTTCCCTCGGCAGTTTCTGCCTATGTGTCTTGCTTCTTCCCTGCACTATATGACAGTTATTATGGCGATGTGCTTCTCTTTACTTAAACTCGAGAACCAAACGATAAAAGTCATAAATCTTAGGGACAAAGTAAGGATGAGCAAGTAGACAGGACACGGAAGGGGAGAAGTACAATCCAGATTTGTTCGTAAGAATATCTCGAGGCCTTCATTGTTAAAGAATCAAACAAAGTGTTAATTCTGATTAGTACAAATCAATGTTAGCAAGCCTTGTCATTCTTCAGCAATTGACAGTGTTAAAGAGTATGCATGGAAATGAAAACAATGAAAAGCAATATTAGTGCGGACAGTCAAGAATGCAACACTTTAAAAGTGTACATTCTAAAGCATTAATAAATGAGGAGGGGAAAAAAGCGTGATTATATGGAATGCTTTTTAGTGTAAATAATGGATCAAAGAAAGAAACAGCAAGGCCAAACTATAAACAGCCACCATTTTCACAACAAAAATGTGATAACCTGCTTTGGAGTCTTGGGAACATGCGTAGACTTTGTCATTCCAATCTTTGGTGTATTTTCTGTGATTTTCTTTTCAAATGAGGCAAGCTTTGCAGATAATGGTCTCATTGAAGGTTCTTGTCTTCCTGCAGGCATAGGGGTTGCAGTTTTCTGTTCCCAGGACGAAAATCTTTGAGATACTGGCTTCTGAGTCGGTTCATCTTGAGTGTTAATTGAGTCAGTATCTGAAGGCGGGGTTTCATTCAAACCCGGGGCATTAACAGGCAGATCAGTTGGGTTGGTCCGTGAGATGCTTGCAGATGGAGTCGTAGCAGCATGCTTTGACAGGACAGCCGTCTCAGACGCTGACTTCCCCGGGGTGTGACCCCATTCCACCTTATTAGTCTTTTCATTGATTGGCAAAGATTCTTCTGATTTGCTCTCAGATACATTTGACTGGCAGGCATATGAGGGTGAGAATGGTTTAGGGGAACGGTTCCATTCCACCTTCAAACAGGTGCATGCATGAAAAGAAACAAAATAAAGTTACATTTGTGGAATATAGTCATGGTTAAAGTTGAATAGTTCTACAGATTTAATATTTTGATTATCAAAGCCTAGATTTAATGCATACGAGTAATGAGTATATTAAACTTCTTTATTTCTAGAAAGAAAATGGTCACTTTTTAAAGTTATTTATTAGGATGCCTATAATACAGAACAGCTCCCATTACCATTTCGCATTCATAAGTTGGTGAAAAAAAATGGTTTACAATCCATAATGAAAAAGGAATAGATATTGATTTAACATTGCTTTTTTATATGTGAACAAGCCAAATGTGACAAACTCTTGAGAAATAAGATAGTCAAAATGCAAAGCTGTCAGATGAGTTTTAAAAATAGCCATGTTGAGTTCATAATTGAATAAAATTTATAAGAAAACAAAATGTAAAAAGTTAAGAGAAATGACAGAATAATGGCTGCAGAGAGTTGAGCACAGTGAAATGGAAGAAATTATCAAAGGAATTGGAAAAAGATGAGATTGCAAAGAGAGACCAACCACCTACAAAGAATTTATTAGAGATAAGGGAAAAAAACAAAACAAACAGATGAAAATCAAGCTATTATTCCTTGACATTTACAACATACATCATATTCGATAGGTTAATAAAAAGCAGTGCTTAAGATTAGATCTCTAGAATTAGATCTTTAAGACACAAATTCAATTCAAATTAAACAGATTTTGTTACTATCCTCAGTTCTATGCTTCTGGTAGGTTAGGAGTTTTCACAGAAATCTTATTCTTGACAAAGAAAAAGACGTGACCAGCCAAGTTCACAACTTTAAGATAGTATGCAGGCATATTAAAATTTGAATAAGCATCCTATCATCCCATTAACAGAACATTAAAAAGAAAATTGGAAAAACAACAATACAAAATATGATATACAAGAAAATATACAGTAGTCTCTGCCTAAGATCCCACCGCTTATAATCCCAGTTCGCTTAAGACCTTGTCTCACTGTTTTAAGAACACAAAAGTCCCCATAAGATCCCGCTCTGAATGTCTACATTCGGCTAGGACCCCATATTTCAGTTCATAATTACTGAACAAAACCCGTGCGAGCACAAAAGATCTACCAAGAGTGAAGGTTTGTGATCACTGAACTGCCCATCGTGTCACAGATCAGCCACTCTTATGAATGTGATAACATGTCCGTTGTAAATTTCGATAGAACAGTACAATGTTTGTTCTAGACGGGATCACACTGAGGTGCGTAAAGACAAAGGCGGAGAACTCGATCAGAGATGGAAAGCTAATTTTGGTCAGGTAAAGGAAAGGAGCAACTGATAAGCGTAGATCTTGAGACTCACGATAGTATAATAAGTGAAAATACCAGGTCTCATTCTACAGTGATAGGTCATTAAGATTGACCTTTCTCTGCTCCCAGTAAGCCATAAACCCACCCAGGGGTCACATCAGTTCATTTTAGAGCAAAGAGAGACCATTTTACTGGTCGTAGACCTGGGTCACTATGGATTCTTCTTTTGGGGTGTCGGCTAAGATCTCGCATCTTCCTTGCTCCCGAGCACCGGGATCTTAGGCGGGGACTACTGTACAAGTGAAATTCAAATTCATTACTGTGCAATTAAAATGTCAAAACGCCTGGGGGAAACTGAATCAAAGAAACTATATTTATGCAAAAGACCAGGATCATAATATCCACAAAAAACACTTTTCCCATATGTTAGAAATCCAGATGCAATAACATAAGCCCCAACCCAATGGTTTCAACAAAAAACACCAAAAAAAGTAAATAGCTCATAAAAATGTTACAGCATTGTTAAAAGAAATTAATGTCAAGAGCGAAAGATAGCGGTGTTAAAATGTTCTATGGTGATATCTGTTCAAAATTACCTTAGATCCTCTTAATGGTGAATTCCTTGCAAACCCAGGAGCTGACGAAGTGGGTGAAGAAACCGAAGCAACTGTAGACTTCATTGGGCTCCGGGGAGTTGGAGGAGCGTGGGTTTTCTTGGGTGAGCCAACAGCAGACGGCTTTCCTGAAGAAGGTGCTGAAGAAGCAACTTTCTGTTGCACCATAATTGGCTGTGGAGCTCGACTCTTCCCCGAGGACGCTGGCAGCTTTTGTTCACTTGCCATGGATTCTTTTTTAGCTGATGGTGGCTGCCACCTTGGCTTTTTTTCCTCCTCTTTACTGGAGTTTTAAAAAAAAACAAACATAAAAATTTAGGATAAAAGGGAAGATTTATGTGTGCACTGAATCTACTGCGCTTTAGTAAGAAAAGCTATCTAAAAATGCTATTATTTGACCAAAGTAATAAGAGACAGTTCAACAATATGCTTCATTTTTGTAATACTCTCTTCGACATATTTATTATCCCAAGAATGCCCTATTCACCATTTTTTCCCACACCAGTTTTTTTTCTTCTTTAATCCTTTGAACTTTACTATTTCCAAGAAAAGTTTCACTGATAGGTGTTGAAAGTTTAACCCAATATGACATATAAGCATAAAGTTGTAACAAAGTTATACGAATAGGCATTTAATCATTCTGCATTAACACAAACAAAGAGAATGGAAAACTAAATAATGCAAAAAAGCCTTTTTTTAAGACACTTTAGAGACCTAAAAAAAATGAATCTACAAGCAACCCCCCCTCAAAGACAAAGACAAAGGCTTAACAAATTTAGGTAATTGATAGGCCTACTGTACAGTCCAGTTTTGGAAATGATTAGCTGTATTTCTTACATTGTTGCTACTAACAGTTTTGAAAATTGCTTAAAAATACAGTCAAACCTGTTCCAACATCCACCTGGTTGTTTTTTTACGCCATCACCAGTACAATTGACCACTTTCCATTCCTCCCTTGCACATTTTTCACATCATAATATCACTGTGTAAGACATCCATCTGTCTGAGACAACAAATTTTTTCCTTGACAACAGATGTCCATCTTCTTACTATTTTGAATGTAGTTTCCTTATTGACAAAACAGAGAGCATCATTTCTACTACACATTCTATTACAACACATTTGAATCATTCACGTCTCTCTCTCTGTAAGAAAAGCAAACTACTTACTGAACAACATGATGGCTCATGTCATCCTCCCAATTGTTAATGTTCTGGGCCAGTGCTGCAAATCTATTCTTTCTTGTAGATCCCAGATTAGTCGAATCAAGAGCTTTTGCAGGTGAAGTTTTAGCTGGTGAAAGCACTCTTCTTTCTGCTGGAGGTGTCGATATACTTTTCCGAGGTATTGGCACAGGAGAATCATTCACAATTTTGTTCTCTGAAGACATAAAGATTGCATTTACAGTAGTGATCTAAATCTCTAGCATGCAACAGTCCACATAATCTCATGAATGGAACCTTGGAAAGTAAAATATTTCATATACATTAAGATTTTAACTAGTTTGTTCCAACCAGACTTCATTTAATTATTTAGGACTTTCTTTTGAGAAAGACAGAACTGAACAGTTAAATAGTTGCACTAAAAAAAGATGAAAGATGTAGCAATGGGGTTTTAAATATATGGTAGGTTTTTATCTGCTCCTATACCGTTTCAGTTTTTCTTTATCTCTACCTGCTGTTTTCAGACAGACTTCCAGTAAATAATAACTGCACAGTGAGTAGTAGGGGTAGCGACATGGAATTACATCAAGAGGCAAGCCCAGGATAGAGAAAGGTGGAAGGTGTTTGTCGGTGGCCTATACCCTGGTGCAGGGTGAGAAAGGCAATAATGATGATGATGAGTAGTAGGGGTAGCGATACACGCAGAATCAGGACCTGCAACAAGGAAATAAATTTTAAACCTTTGACATAAGTGAACTTCCCTTCAATCTAAAAAAAAAAAAAAATCATTTACCACTCTGAAGATCTTGAGCTCTGGCTTGAACCCCTCGGACAGCAGGAGTATCAGGCTTCAGCTGCAGCTCTTCTTCCCTCAAACACTGACGCTTGGGAGAATCTGCAAGAGAGGAAACAATAAATCAGGTATAATCAATATGTCAAAAACAGAGTAAAGCAAACTTCGCATGTAAAAGTTCTATCAAAAGGTAATAGATGAAAGAAAAATACCACCCTGCAAAATAGGGCAACATCAATTCCTTCTTTTCATTCATTATTCTATTCCTTACTGTTTTACACTTCAATAAACATGGAATAATGAAGAGGCTTTTTTTTTGTAAACACTTGAACCTTTACTCAAATATATGAAACATATAACAAATAAAGCAAAAAAAGGGGACAGCAGCAGATACACAGAAGGAACCTTACCATATCTTTTATAATTTACATTTACATAGTGAAATGGAATAAGTTTAACGCCTTTATCAACATTAGGTCATTTAAGAGGCGCGACTTCAGAGTTTAATGTCCATATCCGAAAGGACAAAGTCAAATGAGCAAAAATTAACCAAATTCAGTACAGCCTATTCTTATGAAAATTGAATTCTTTTTCCAAGTACTGAGAAACAGGAAGTTTAAAAAGTCAGAAAAGAAATGGGAAGGAAATGAAAAAAGGTACATCGCAAATATTTTCATTTTAGTTACAGTGAAGACTATAAAAAATTAACAGATGATTTATGGGGAATCAACAATGAAGAATTATCTTTTTCACTACTAATTCAACATACTTATAGATACAAGCCTACAAGCAAAAACTGTATCTTTGGTAAAACATTTGTCTCTTGATGTGTAAGTCAGCACTGTTCTACCTTCAGTAGCATTTTCCTATGATTCTAATTCAGTTTTAACAGGCAAATGACAATAGCAGGACCGTAATAACATTTCAACACTATAGACAGTGACTTTGTAAGGGAATACAAGCCTCCAACCAAGTGAAACACACTGCTAGCGAGGGTTACCGTGATGAGAAAGGTGATTGATTATTATGCCTATCATGAACCAACTGCTTAAATAAAACTACATGAACACCTGTTCCCCCTGAAAAAAAAAAAAAACAGACTAAAGAACTTGAACCATGAATTTGGTTTGACACTCATTTAAAAATAAAATCTTGAACTGATAAACCTCCTTGTAGTATGCTCTTTTATGAAAACTCAACACTGTTGGCAGTTACTGCACACTGGGCTCGTACTCGGCTTACAAGACTTTGCAAATCAAGTACAGCATTCAAGTGGATAAACGTAAGAACAGTAACACTAATAATAATAATAGTTAACAGAACCAATAAATGTCAAATGCACAACCGTTCAAAACATGAAACGGAGAACTCATATGAAAATTATGTGTATACCATAAAGTGGTCCTGCAAAATCTGAAAATGGTCCAGGGCAGTATTACATATTTTCTTTTTTCAAACAACTATGATTCACTTTCATTTCCAGTTGAGCACTACATGTTACAAATACAATCCATGAAACAGTAAAACAAAAACAAAACAAAAAACCTGATTTGCTACCAAAAGTTTCCTGCTGAGAGGGTAACCAAATTCAAGTAGCACAAAAACAATGCTAGTGAGTTATCTACAATCATAAATATGTATGACCTAGTTCAGTGAGCAAGCTGAGGCCAAGACAAGACTGCTTCATTCTTTTTATTATAAGAATGACGAGAGTGTTGGAAGAGGCTGGTTACTATTGGTTATAATGATCAATTTATTGTCAAAATAAGGCTGAGATAAGAGCTGCACACACCGATAGAGTTCAATGATGCGCACTTTTATCAGTGCTGTTTTGCATTTCATACAATGCAGGCAACGATTTTATATCTCTTTCTGTTAGATTATAGAGTGAGCTAATTAAAAGGTAGTTGATAGAGGAAAAAGAGAGTAAAATTTGCATGAAAAGAAAATCTGGCACAATTATGCTGTAAAAGATTAGCACTTTCCTCAATTCACAGCATCAAACTTTAACTTTAACTAGGTCTACATGCTGTAACTCTAGACTCTGAACAAATACAAGAGCCTCTCATAAGCTTTGGGCAAAATTATGGAAAATAAGTCTTTAAATACAGTAACAAGCTAAATTTTTAAGCTTTCAGCTTGTCCAGTTTTATGCTGCTATTCCAAAAGCAGCTGATATTGCATTATATTTAAGCCGGGCAAAACCTCCGCCCAGTATATAAACATTATTCGCTGCAGTGTGCACAAGAAGTGCATACAAATAAATATGTACCATCTTGGTTCAACTGTTTTTCAGACAAAACTTTCTCAGAGCCATCATTCTCCAAAACTGGGGTTCTGCGCTTGCGAGGAGCAGCCTCTGGCATCCCCGATGTCCGTTGATTCAACATCTCTCGCCTCTGTCTGGCTCTTTCAATCAGTTTCTGGCGACAATATAAAAAATAATCATAAAAGCTGATACAAGAGCGACTGAAAGATCAGAAAAATTATAAAATAGCTGTCTATTCTAGTAAAGCTCATTTGAGTATCTAGATCTCTAGTATCAATCACGTACTACTTTCAGTGTCAGAGATTTTTTTTTTTGTTAAAGAGTAAGAGAAAATGATGACCTCATTTATTATTTACTCTCATAAACTAAAAACATCACAAAATTTTATCATGTACCTGAAAACTATCTGGGTTCCTTCGTTAGCAGCACATATTAAAAAATTGTGTATAAGAACCAGTATTATATTATTTAAAAGTCTTACGTACACCTATAAATGTAAAAGAACTGTAACAGAAAGAAAGTACTGCTATTTTCAAAATTATTAATATATCATGATCATCAGACCCGCAGAGTTTTCATTTAATTGATACTACCTAAATCAAGGAGGAACAGATGCTGAAATAAAGTCCTGCATTGAAAAAGCACAGAGGCTGCTTTCATAACATTATATTTAATTTTTTTAACAGGATTTGAGGAAGACCAGGGATATCACACTTCGAACACAGCAAGGATTTTCAATTCAAATATGAAGTCAGTCCTGTGGTATGGATGTGAGACAATCCACGATTTCTTGAACAAGTGTCTAACAAAGTTACTGAGGATCAGATGAACAGACAGGGTCACCAACGAGGAAGTGTTAAAGAAAACAAGACAGATCCCAGTCAGAGAGATGAGGTAGGAAGAAGGCGGTGGTGATGGATTGGAACATGACACTCTCAAGAAGTCAGGCAGCTGCATATAACAAAGAAAGTGTTTGAATGAAATCCAGGTAAAAGATCAAGGGGAACACCGCATGGAACCTGGAGAAGAATCACAGAAATTAATATTGAAAAGTGGGAAGACATGGAATAAGATCAAGTTCAACAGGCTAGAGAAAGGTGGAAAGTGTTTGTTCGAGGTCTATACCCTGATGAAGGCTAGTGCAAGGTCAGACAGTTCAGAAAAGCAATGATAATGACCTAATTCAAAGTCGGAAATCCGCCACCGGGAGGACTTCCGTAACGAGCGACCACTATACTATGAGACAGTAGAATAGAGAGCTTGGGATAGGAGGAGGGGAAGGGTAGGACTCTTTCTTTATTGTGTTCGTTGGGATGGTATGTCATTACAGAAGTCCTTCCCTGCCACCAGACTAGATAGAATCTTACAACGGAGTGTCTACGTACACAGTAACCGGGCACCTAGTCTCAGTATCTACGTACATGGTAACCGGGCACCTAGACTCAGTATCTACGTAGAGTCGAACCTGTGTAAGACGGCACCCATTGTCAAGGAGAAAAGTGGTCGTATAAGACAGGTGGCCGTCTTTGGCAGGACTGATCAAGATGAAGAAAAGAAACTATTCCTTTCTGAGAAAACAAACCCTTCCTTTCTGAGGTCCCAACCGAAGGTAGATGTATTGTTGCTGTTGTTTTCACTGGGGGGTTTTTTCTCATTTGTTTCAGCTTTTGTGCACGTGTGACAATAAAACGAAATGTGTCAGACAAGAGGGACCAAGTGCTATGGTAAAACAAATACATGGGTCGCCACCACACGGAGAAGAGGGAAGCTTCTGTCACAAGTTCATGCTGACGTCCATTGCTACTTTGTTACAGACTGGGTAAACAGTGAACACTCATCTCACTTACGATGTGTGTATGGGTTCTGGGCGGGGCTTATGGGTTATGAGGGATTACACGCTTACCTCCCCAGCAACTGAACATTAATTTTGTTACCTATTGTTGGTCAACAGTGGGAGGGGGCCTACGCAACATGATCAGTTGGAGGGACTACCTAACAACAACAAGTTTTTAGATTATGACGGCTCGCCCACAACGCCAGGGGCCAATGCATGATTTGTGACAAAGCGAAATGGAGTCACTAAGGTGGCCGTCTAAGACAGGTGTTATTTCTTGGTGTGATAGGGGTTGTGTGTTGAAATATGGTGGCCGCGGCCGCGTTGGACAGGTGCCCGTTTTACACAAAACGCAAGGGGGAAATGGAAAGTGTCCGTTTGTACAGGTGGCCATCTTATAGAGGTGGCCGTCAGGGCAGGTTCGACTGTACACGGTAACCGGAATAAAAATACATGTAAACCAATAGCCCTGTGCTGCTACTTGCTGGAAAAAAAAAGAAAGTCATACACAAGCGTCTTGTCGGGCTCGCCATCGTGACCAGTCAGTGAACCTGCGCATGTGCATCACATTGTGAGTACCAGTTGGGGTCACCAAAGTTCATTCAAAGTCTGTGCGCTGAGAAGTATAAGGCTCCGCAACGGGGGGGATTATTGATTTTTTTTTTAAAGGTACAGTCGGGGGAGGGGTGGGGATAAAGGCAACACCGGATGACAAAAACTGAACTTGGAGTTCTGAACTGCCCAGTTACCCTGTGTGTGACACTGAGACTACATGCCCGGTCGCCGGTTACCGTGTACGTAGATATTGAGGCAACATGCCCAGTTACCGTTTACGTGACATTAAGACTACATGCCCGGTTGCCGGCTACCGTGTACGTAGACACTGAGGCTAGGTGCCTGGTTACTGTGTATGTGTAGACACTCCGATCTTACAACTCTCAGGAGGAGATTTCTTTCCTTGGTTTAGAGGTTTATATAGTTGTCACAGTAATATTGTAATAAGATCAGATTTAGATGTAGACTCTAGTCAACAAGAAGTGCAACAAGACATCAAAAGATGGCATCTATAGATGGTCAATTGAAAATGAATTCTAAATTTTTAAGGTGGGATACCTGGGTGTGACTGTGACAAATGAGGTCCAAAATCAACTTTATATAGAGATCTAGATATCTAGATCTAGAGACAGGGGCTCAAAACTCAATCTGAAACATTTTTAAGTCAAGTTGTTAAAAGTGCGTGATAAATCGTTTAGTGGGGGGGGGGGTTGGTAAGTGTTTTACGGCGCTCGCAAAACTGCATGATGCACAAATTGGCCATAATACGGTCATATTATAAATAAATGAGCGCGCGGGACACACCATACATTACATACATTTTCAGTTGGTAGGAAATTTTGAATTTTGCCCGGGTGGCGAACAAAGCCCTAAAGTTCTTCCACCATGGGATCTTTAACGAGCACAACTTGCACACGGGACCCCCGAGATCTTTTGCCCTTGTCCGAGAAGGCTGAATCAGGATCTAGAATCTAGATATCTAGATTTAGATCTAAATATCTAGAAATCTAGATCTAGATTTTAGATCCTAGGTGTGTAGGCTAGAGATCTTTCCTACCAGAAGATCAGGGGTGTGGCTGCCCCTGAAAAGTGAAAGAAAGCAGTAGTAAGAAGTTTAAAGGAGCCAAGGAGTAGATCTAATCTAGATCTAGATCTAGATCTAGCAGTAAAAAGGCTGTAAGAAAAGAGTCAGGAGCCCAGTGGAGGGGGCAAAGGAGGTGAACTAAGGAAGAGACAGAAGCAGATAGACGACAGAATAGACAGACCAATTGCATTGACATTGATTGTCGTTGTAAGAGAAGAAGAAAGGAGAAAGTCATGAGACTCACTGAGACAATTTGAATTTTAGAGCAGAAAATTGTTCGGTCGCCACCCGGATTTGAACCCGGGACCTTTGAATGAGAGGCGAACACCTTAACCTCTAGATCTAGACTAGATCTAGCCTAGTTCTTTCTAGATTCTATGGTCACGAGAGCCCCTAGTCTAGCCTAAGTCGGATCACATTCTCAATTGACAATCAGTCACACCATCCAGCAGTCTGTACTGTCCGTTCAGCGCACCACCAAGCCAAGCCTAGCCTAGAGGCAGAGGCTAGTCACCCCCTACATGTAGAATCTAGATCAGATCTCTAGCTAGATCTACATCTAGATCTAGATCTAGATTTAGAATCTAGATCTAGATTATTCATTGATAGATTCTAGTCCCGAGTCATCATTCATTATAAAAATTTCTCCACACACCCCGGCCGGTGACACCCCGTCGTGTGCGAGCTTCTTGGAGAATCTTGTCTTGATGATGATAGATCTACTGATAAATCTAGACCGCTGTCAGTCTTCATCATTTTGGTCGAGACCTACCTGAGTGTCTTCGTCCATTTCAAAAATAAATCTTGAAAGAACTTTAAGAAATTCCAAATCTCGACAATCTGCTGTGCTGAGCGTAAACTTGAAACACTTCCGTCTTCTACTTCTCCACCTTCACACAAACACTCGGAGAATACAAACTTTTAACTTTCAAACTTGGCGGTTGAAGTCACGCGTTGTCACGCGAGACGAAAACAAAAACTCTCGGTGGGCTGGGCTTGGCTAGTAGGCAAGCAGAGAATTGAACCTTGGCCTGTTTGGCATTGGGCAGAGGAAGACGCAGCGACCAATGGGAACGCTGTTTATTTTAGTCCAGCAACTTGAAATATTATGAGAACATTGTTTTGTTTTTTATACGCCTACAGCAACTCTCCGCTCCTCCACGAATGCCTTTTCTCTCTCATCTTCACGGGGGTTTTTTTTATTTCCCCCTCTTTTCAGCCCGTTCTAGCTGTTTTATCACCTGTTCCATATAGGCCTTCTTCTTCTTCTTCTTCTTCTTCTTCTTCTTCTTCTTCTTCTTCTTCTTCTTCTTCTTCTTCACCCTTAGCAGCCAGACTCTTGTATCATGCTGGGCCACCCCAGACTGCTTAGAAACACAGACTCTCTGATGACCCTGGTTCGAATCGCCGGCGTCCGTAAGTTAGCGGTGTTTGCGCTAACAGGCCCTAGATCTATATATAGACGCGTGCAGAAGACGTTCGATTCCTGAGGGGAATATTCGCCGAGAATGTTATTTCCTTCTTTCTACTGGAAAAACGTAGGCTATTCCTCACAGTTTGGGTTGGCTCTGACGGGCAGGGTAAAAATTATCTAAATTGCGTGTTCCACAATTTAACTCTTTTTTTTTTAGTGCAATGACAAAAAGCAATAGAAAACGCATGCGATCTTGGATTACGCGGGTGGTGTCATCATTATTTTCAGTTTTCTTACCTACCCCCCCCCCCTCCCACCCCCTGCAACATCAAAAACATAAATTAATAAGCACATGGTGGGTGGGATAATGCATGCTTCTTCTTCTTCTCGATCGCTATCACACTTGAAGTCTGGTATCTGCTCAGTTCATCTGTCGGCCCGTATAGAGCTTCTCTTGTAGCGTCAGTGGGGTTGGCCACGTTTCCTGTCTCATGGCCCTATGTGTCTTGCAGTGCTGAAGGATGTGTTCAACAGTTTTGGTCCGCCTCTCCACACTGACATTTTGGTGATTGTACTAGTTTTAAACATTTGTAAATATGTTGTCTCAGTCGTGTGTGTTGTGTCCTTAGTCTGAAGATAATCACTTGCTCTTGGCGGGACAGTCCATGGTAGCCATCCGGTGCCTGATGTGCCTCAAATAGTGTATTTATAATAGTTTTTATTTCTGTTTAGTCAACGCTGTTGTCCGGTTGCTCCCTCCGATCCGTGCTCCCAGTTTGGCCACCCTGCCCGCCTGCTCGTTTCCTAAGACACCACAGTGTGATGGAATTCACTGCAGCATGATCCTCAGACATGGGATGTCCTCAATTACTTTTCGTGGCCTCGATAGTTTGCCGGAAGTGATTGCCTGCAGTACTGACATGGCATCTGTTAGGAATACCACTTGACTTTGGGGGTCTATCACATTCTTGATAATGTTTGCTGCATGTATTAGAGCCTCTGTCTCTGTCCTGTAGTTTGTACAATGTCGCCCTGTAGGGACTGCCTCTGCTAGTCGTCGTCCATTTGGGAACTGTACGTACACTCCGGCTCCCCCTCCCTCCACAGCATCAGTGGCAGATCCGTCCGAACAGATCCTTATCCATGCTTCTCGTGGGTATCTTTCCTCAAGCATGGACAGGGTGAGGGACTTCTTGCCCAGGTCGCTGCGGCCACCTCCCGCGGTGAACACAGGAATGGACGTGTGTATAGATATGTTTGTGTTTCTCTTTTCCCATGTTGGTGCCTCTGGAGTATGGTTCAGCATGTTAACTGTGACTGGCAGATGGTTCTGTAGGGATCCTTGGATTTCTCTGCCCTCCTTGATGAAGTTGGATCCTTTGAGTCTTGCGGTGTTTGATCTGGCTGTTCTTGTGTGCAATATATGATCATCCATAGCTGTGGCCTTGTTGTACTGTATGAGGGCCTTGCATTCCCATCTCCCCCGCAGGGCCACCACAGATGTTGCCCGTTCCATCCTTTCTATAGGCGCCGACCCCACTGCTCCAGTGACCACTCGGACAGCCCGGTTTTGCACTTTTTCCAGAGTGTATTTGTGAGTCTGTGCTGCAGTCATCCATGCACTGGATCCGTTCTCGAGATGGGGCCCGATTGCGCCCAGACAGACCTGTCCAAGCGTTTTCTCACTCGCTCCCCACTGAGTTCCTGCTAGTCCTCCCATGATTGAGTTCTGGCGTCCAGTATGGGGTATAATTTTTCTTCTTCCTGGCTTTATTTTCCGCATTCTGAATGTGCCGTTTCCATGCGAGACGCCTGCCAAAGACCACTCCAAGATACTTCTGTTGATTCTCAAACTTTAGGGGGGTTTTGTCTAATAGTGTTTTGGCTCAGCCTGGCTGAGAGTGTAGAGAGTAGCAGAAGACCTTTCTTTGTTTACGGTTACACACCAGGTTTTTTGTCCATGTAGTGGGTTTGTCCAATGCTCGTTGCATGCGATATGTGGCAGTAGTGACGCATTCCTCAAAGCACCAAAGAACCAGGTCGTCTGCATACAATGCGGCATGTATTCCTTTGGGCAGTTCTTTCATGAAGTCATTGATGAAGAGGATAAAGATCAAAGGTGACATGACTCCACCTTGGGGTACTCCTTGTCGCAGCAGCATTTTCCGTCCTTGATATCCATCCACCAGCACACGTGCTCTTCTATTGTGTAGATAGGATTTGGTCCATTGGCACATGTTGCCTTAGATACCACTTCTAAGGAGCTTGACTAGTAGACCCTCCTTCCACACCTTGTCAAACGCTTTTTGTAGATCAACAATTAATGTTGCTAGCATCACTTTCTGTGCCTGGAAGGAGTTCTCTATTACTTGGGACAAGTATGTTGTTTGGTCCTCTGTGCTCCTGAACTGACGGAATCCAGCTTGTTCTGGTACTATGATATGTTGTGCCTCTAGGTACCACTGCATTCTGCAAGCTATGATGTGCTCCATTGTCTTACATACACAACTTGTGAGGCTGATAGGTCTATAGCTTAATGGCTGTGCCTTACTTTTCCCTGGCTTGAGGATTGGGATCATCGTTGCTTCTTTCCAGCACTGAGGTACTTGCCCTATTTTCCAGCTGAAGTTGAATATATCCAGCAGATCCTGTAACGCTGTGTTGCCTAGGTGTTGTAACATTTCGTTTGTAATTTCATCGGGGCCAGGTGATTTTCTTTGCTTCAGTTGATTTATTGCTTTCTTCAGCTCTTCCATGGTGATATCCTTCTCCATTGCTTCCGGGGTATTATGTGTACTTCTTTTTCTTCTTTCCTTTTGTCTGACTTCTTTTTGTCTCTCTCTTGGTATTTTGATGTTGCTTTCTTGAGCGTATGCTTTTACAAAGGTATGTGCAGCCCGTTTCTCCATTTCCATCTCTCCTTCAACTTCTAGAGTAATCTCGGCACTTTTATTTCCTTCGTCGTTTAGCCCTTTTACAAGCCTCCATAGTTTTGTGGTGTCCTTTTACAGGTTAAGTTTGTGCGTTTTGTCTCTCCAGCTTTTCCTGGTGCACTCCAATTTGGTTTTGAGATAGTGGGCTTTACACCTCTGTAGCTTGTTGTTGTTTTCTATCCCTGGATGTGTTTCGGCTTCTTCTCTAGCCTTGATGAGGTCGTTATGTGTTTTCTGGAGTTCTGGCGTCCAGTATGGGGTATACTTTTTCCTTACCCCTCTAGGTTTCTTTTGCTGAATTAAGGATGTTTTCATTGAACTCTGTGATGGCATTGTTTACATTTTTGTCGAAGACAGTGATGTTCTTTGTCAGCTCATTAGTTCTTATGCTGAAAAGTCTCCAGTCTGCCTTTTTGCAGTTCCATCTCGGCCTTTTCGGGCTGTCCTCCTGCTGGCTCTCTACTATGGTAAGAAGAACAGGGCGAAGGTCACTTCCCCCAAGCTGGGTTCCACTTTTCTGCTTAGATGTCTGTGCAAGTTTTCTGTGCAGAGTGCTATGTCTGGAGTCGTAGTTGAATGCCAAGATCGAGAATAAAATGTGGGTTGATCTAAAGGATCATTTACAAGCAGAAGATGGTTTTCATCTTGCCAAGCCTTTATTTCTTCTCCTCTCCGGTCTAGTCTGTTATAACCCCAAATCTGGGACTGGCTGTTGAAATCTCCAGCGATGATAAAGTCTGTGTCTGGGACTTTGATGGTTACTAGCACAAGATTTTTATCGTTTGGACAATAATAGTTCACTAGATCCAGATTGCCTCTGCTGGTGGTGATCCTGTTGTGGATATATTCAGCTTCTCCTGTGTATTTCTTGATTTCAACGGTACTTAGGTTATTTCTTACCAAGGTCAATACTCCTCTTTTTTTTCTACCTTGGCGATCGTTTCTGAAGCACTGATATCCTCTCACCTTAAAGTTTGCCTCCTCCTGAAGGTGTGTTTCCTGTATACAGCTGAAGTGTATTTCATTATCTTTTAGTGAAAGTTTTCCAGCTCCATTTTCTTGTTTGAGATTCCTTCGGCATTCCAGTGCATGATATTAAGACTTTTCTTTACCTGTTTTGTATTTGTGTTACCAGTAACTTTTCTTCCTCGTCTCCTGACAATCCAAGACGATGGAAGGCCCTCCAGTCGCTGGGCTGGACCCCATCGAGGCTTGCGGCCCGGCACTGCACCTGCCTGGTGGGTCCTCACAGGGCAAGCACCATATCTAACGTTACCTACGTCAAGTGTCAAATATTGCAGTATTATGTGGTATTGTGGTTCTCTAGAGTGCGCCTTGCGGCCCAATACCTCCGATTTCAGCACTCCAGCTCCAGGTCCAAGAACCTACCCTGGAGGCACAGGGAGGAATTGTTACCGGATCCCACCCGTAGCCAGGACTTAATGCGGTCCTTTTCTGCATGATGCTCCCGTCACAGGACTCCTAGGGCATTTAATGACGTGGTAGTGCCACCTACCACCTCACCCCATCCTGGTAAGAGCATCGCCAGTTGGACCAGGGCTGCTTATTCAACATATTCACAGCTAACCTCCAGTACAGTGGCCATTCCCTATCCGCCACCTGGGACCCGCCGGGTCGAGGATGTTCGCCCCAGCCCGGGGATAATGCATGCAATATTGTAAACTTTTCAATTATGTTCCAGTCAAAAAAGAATAGCGTAATAATACATGTAAGCTACTTTTATAACCACCTTGGTTGGAGTAAATTATGTTTATATTATATACTCAAGTTTGATGGTCCAAAGCAGTTTCTCTAAAATTAACTGGGAAATAAAATCAGGATTTATTTAGCCAACTGCGAGGGATGATAGACTGGGAATTACAAGCTAATTATACGCAGCGGAATTTTGAGGTTCGGAATCAAATCTGCACGTATAAATCGATGCTTATAATATAGTACAGGCCCTGTATTATTCCTTGAGGCCAGCGTGAGAGAAATTAGACTCTAGCAGTAATACATACATATATATATATATATATATATATATATATATATATATATATATATATATATATATATATATATATATATATATATATATGTGTGTGTGTGTGTGTGTGTGTGTGTGTATGTGTGTGTGTGTGTGTGTGTGTGTGTGTGTGTGTGTGTGTGTGTGTGTGTGTGTGTGTGTGTGTGTGTTGGGAGGAATGGGATACTTGAGCTCTAATCGTTGTAAAGAAACGTTATAAATCTGTGTAGGAGTGGGCACAGATAGGTTGGGATTTGCGGTCAGAGATACTCAGACGAAAAAGGCCCCTGTGAATGTCTATAAAACAAGAAAAACAAGAAAGGGAGCGGGGGGGGGGGGGGGGTGCACCTCGAGTCACGTATAAAACTCTTTGGTCACGTTTTCAAGGAGTGTAACTCTACAGTTGCCATGAAGCAGGATATCAGGCCTATATTAAATTATATTATGCGTCTGTATTAATTTTTCCGAACCTAACTGGAAGCCCCCATCAATGCAGCTGCTCGTATTTTTTTTCGTCTGCGCTATTTTAGTCTCCCAAATCCTAATGTAAAATTATGTTCTTAACAGTCATTTGGAACATGTGCAAAAAAACACAAAACGATGTGCAAAAATGCTCTTGATTCTTTTCAGGCACACACACACACACACACACACACACACAAATACACACACACACACACACACACACAAATACACACACACACACATACACACACACACACATGAACGCACGCACGCATAAACACATATAATGCTCTTGTTCAAGAAGACACTTTCTGATATTCTGATTTTGGTCAACTGTTTTTTAACCTCCCACTTCACACCGGGGACTAGATCTAAATGAGTAGCCTATTTTTAGGCCCTTTAAATACATGATGACAATAAATAAATCATCACTGCTACTACTGCTAGTACACATTCAAAATTTTTATTGTCGTGTACCAAGGGGAAAGAACAAACAAACAAAACAAAACAACTAAAACTGAACAAATGACAAAACAATAAAAGGACAAAAGTCTTGAGTGAATAAAGTACCAAGACTACTAAAAGTTCTAGTGTATTTTTTTTTTAAAATGGAGAGTATACATTTGTAGGGATCAGAAATGGATCGCAGTCAAAGGACTGTGACAAAATACATAGATTTATAATCTAAAAAAGTATATAAAGCCTCAATTGCTTGAGTATTTATATACTTATTTATCCCTTTGTCTAGATGACCGTTGGGGCATCTAGGATGATCGGGCAACTTCTTTCCTCCACCCTTCTCTATGTTCAGCCTTTACTCAGCATTGAGTAGAGACAGGCATATCGACACATGCAACTTGTGCATGGGAAAAAGTAAGGCACACCTCAGACAGAAACAAGGGGAATAAAATAAAAAGGCTCTGCCAGTGAGTCGACTCCAACTACCCGCAATCTTTATAAGACGATAATACTTATAAGTCACCTCCCCCCCCCGCCCCCCCCCCAACCCCAAAGGATAAAGAATGTCACAACGCAATCCCCATTAAATAAAAATCAAATGAATTAGCTTCTACTGCTATGACCCTGCTCAAAATGGACAGCAGTGCTTTGGAAATCAGAGCGTCGAGGTCTCGGAAATTCGTCTTTGACAAGGGTCCGCCGACCGAGATGGTGTTCAACCTAAGGTAGTAACTTGTACAATTTCAGTGACTCCCTCAGCAACGGTTGGCGTAAGCCATCTGTTTCTCCCTCTCGGACATGGGTTCATAGAAGTCCACCGTATCTCCTGTGAACGGACACACACACACATCATGCTGGGGATTGGTGCAGTTTCACTGTACTTTTGACCTTTACATTAGGCTACATCATTGTTTACCTTACCGTACTTTAAATCTGCGTGCTTTCATGTTAGATTAGTTTCCTTGAGACTTTAACCCCCCCCCCCCCCCACATACTATGAATACTAGTAAAGTAAAGATGGGAACTTAACCTAATTGTTAAAATGCAGAAAATGAAAGCTTTACGATAGAAAATTTATATTTAACAGAAGACCAGTAGCCAAATCAATGTTCATCAGTAAATAATATACACGATCTTAGCTTACATAGAAGTAGAAGCACCATGAAGAGCAACTTTTTGGAGAGAAATACTGACTTTTACTTTTAACTTTTTGCTGTTGTTGTTTAAAGTTCGGCTTTTATATCTTAGCTTTTTGACAGAGATACATTTAAGCTTTTTTAAATGATGTGGTGTGTCTTTTTCTTCAGGACATTGATCTCAGTAATACGCGTTTGTTTCTGTTTGGGTTCCACTGTATAATAATATTCTAAAAGTTTGACTTCCACTTTAGATTCATATTAGATGCTACAAGTATCACAGTCTTTGTTTATGATGCTTTCCTTTTTTTTCTGTTCAGAATTTTTATGTTGGTGTTTACGCCACCATCGACACACTTTGAATCATTTAGGAGGTAAGCTTCCGACTTCCGACCCTGCCTGTCTGGACCAACAAGGACTGAGAGCGACACAACATCACAGCAGAGAGGTCGAGATACAATATAGGCTACTCGATAAAAATGGTCTCTCCACTCGAAAATCGAACTCAAGATCAGGTCTCCTGTGTGCGACAGCGAATCGCCTAACCGCTGCACAACAGAAACAGGTGCTGCTCCTCTTTGAGAGGGGGCCGAAGGCAGATAAACATAATAATCCATTCCTTAGTGCCATCATAGATCTTATAACATGACGTTATCCCGTGCATGTTGTTGCAGTCGGACTTACCAAAAGGTACCCAGGGTTCCACTTTGGCCGCTAAAGTCTCGGGCGGGCTTGTCTCAATTCGGAGGCGGAGCTTTAGGGGGTGAGCCATATTCTTGCTGTTGTCGAACACCATGAGGTAGCGACCGGCTTGTGAGCACACGAGGCCATAGTTTCGGTACTTCGACTCCATGGTCACTCTGGTTTATAAAACAATATTAAACTAGAATTATATGTATCATTGTATTTTTTAATGTTGATAAATATTAGTTTGTATTTATTCGAAATTTAATGAACAATATCATCAGCAAAAATCCACACATCCACTCTCCAGCAAACAAAGAGTGACCGACGCCGCCGGTTTACCCCAGTAAACGAACCGCCCTTGTTAGCCTTTCCTTGTCAATCAGGGTTCAATAGGTTACTGTATCCCAGTAAAAAAAACCACCCAACAACAACCAGAAGACACCCCTCCCCTCCCCATCTTTCTTTCCTCCCTCACTCTCTCTCTTTTCTCG